TGGATCTGCTGGAAATGCCCATAGTCTGGAAAGTGGAGCTGCCTCCACAGGCAGACACACGCAGCCCGACTTGTCCAACTGTTCACTTTGCATGTGTGTGGTTTACTGATGCACATCACAAAATTTGCCGCTTTGAATGGACCCTCACCACGCACTGCAGAAAGGAGCCATGTCCTCCCATTTATTTATAAATGAAGAGACTAAGAGTCACGGTGGGTCCCTCATTTCTGAAGGTCACATTGTGGGGCTGAGGCTTAACCAGGCGGCCTGAGGCTACATGCATAACCCCCTCCCTCGGCCCTAATCTCTACTCCCCTCATCTTCCCTCCCAGGTGACTTCTCAGATCGCACCCTCCCTGTGCCTCACTGAGTCATAGAAATGGAAAACCCGGGATTCTGAACTAGGATTTCAATACCTCCCATTGTCCCAACACCACAGACAGAGGGAAGTCTGTGGGCAAGGGGGGATTTTCAAAGGCAGCTTCTCCGGACTCTCCTCTAAAGATCTTACTTCCTGATTCTAATCTCTGGGACGTTTCCCACCAGGCCTTGGTGCTGCTGTTCCTCCCTTGATGGGAGTCCCTGGGTTGATTATTAATCAGGGCTCCTGGGGGAGGCCCCAGGCCATTGTTTCCTGCTGTTCAGCTGAGACCCCCAGCACTTGTGTGGGTGGGTGTCCAGGTGAGTGCACTTGGAGCATCTGAATGTGTGCCTGAGTATAAGCCGGTATGGACTCACGGGTAGGTGTGCATGTGTGTGCATGTGGGCAGGTTTGCCTTTGTCTCCATGAGAGTGTCTACAGGAGTGTGCTTGTGGGTGGACGTATGTGTGCAGAAGAGTGTGCGTGTGCATGCACAACCTATGTTGTCCGCCCTCTGACACCCTTTGACCATGGCGCTCCCTCCAAGGTCATGTTCAACAGCGGCTGCTTTTGTAATAGGCCCCCAGGTCGTGCTGATGGTCAAGAAACCTAGGACCTTGTCAATCTAAGCGCCACAGTCTGCCTGGTTTCACTGCTAGATCAGCACCGGGCTCTTGAGGACACACTCTCTCCCGACATTCCTTCCGTTCCCCTGTATCCCAGGGCATCACGTTCCTGCCATCTATGGCTCAAACTCCCATCTTCAGGCTTCTCTCTCTGCCCCTAGGTGAGTGTCCACCTATCTTGAGTCATGACACTCATTCTCATGGGGACCCCCTTGGTTCACCTTCTCCCCTCCCCGACTCCCACCACCACAGCCTGAAGTGCAGCCTTGTCCTTCCTCCCTGAGAGGCTGTGGCAGGGCGTCTGAACTTGATCATCAGCGAGGGTCTGAATTTGGCCCACCTGGACTTGCTACGTCAGCCCCTGTGAACAGAGCTCCCCGGGGACTCAGTGCACACACAAATTTGAGAATTTCACGTAGCTCCCATTAGTACATACCACACTGTCGTCGATTTCCCCACAAACACACCTGGTAGTGTCCCTGCCTCACTTTATGGCCCTAACAGAGCTCTCTGCATTCAATTAGCTCTGTGTGATGGACATTGAGGGTGATTCCAACTGACTGGCCAGAGTGCCCTCCGTCCCTGAGCCACCATCATGGGAAGACACACCTGTCTTCTTTCTCTCTTCTTTGCTCATATAACCAAGGGAGCCTGGTGCCTTGAGGGTTTCTGGAAACTCCCTCACTGCTCCCACAGAAGCCAACCTGAGAAGACAAAATACCACCATTGCATACTCCAAATCAAATACTATGACAATGAATTCTCCTTCTAGATGGTCTTCAGACTAGAGCTGAGCCATCAACTCTTCCCTGGGTCTCCATCCTGCTGGTCTACACCCACAGATTTTTGGACTTGTCAACCTCGACAATTCCCTGAGCCAATTCCTTAAAGTAAGTATTTTCTTTAAACACACACACACACACACACACACACACACATACACACACCCCCTATGAGTTCTGTTTCTGTGGAGAACCCTGACTGATACAGATTGTGTACTAAACTTGTAGTCCTAGATCTTGGCCCAGAGCATGGGGCATGAGAGTCACTGTGTAAGGATTTTGTTTGTTTGGTGGTTAACAAGGTTGCTACATCATCATCACCATCATCACCATCACCATTACCCTCATCTTTATCAACACAATCATCACCATCGTTATCGCCATCACCATGGCCATCATCTGCACCATTATCTTCACCACCATTGTGATCATCATCATATCATCTCCATCATCACCATCATCATCACCATCATCATCACCATCACCACATCACCATTATTGCCATCACCATTATCATTATCACTGATGGATGGATGGATTGTTCGTCAAGGTCTACTTGATGAACTATCTTATTTTTCCTTTCAGGAGAAGGAAATTCCCCATAAATTCTTCCCCATAAATTTGTTTTCCTGCACACTTGATCCCATATTCATCCCAGATGGAATAAGAGGCTATGAAGACCATGGATAGTCTAGAAATGAGTCATTGACTGTCAACTACAGAGACAAACACAGCCTCCAAGTCTCCACCTGCACATTCCAGGCACAAATGAGCTCCTCAGAGTAAATGACAGGCACTGACTTTCCAGCAATGCCACCCATGGTGACCTGCCACGGGGCCCTGGGGGACATCCAGCCCCCATCTGTCTGGAGTAACAATGTGGAGGAGGGTTGTATCTGTAGGGAACGCTTCACCTTCTCTTCTTTGGCAGTTCCTAGAAGACCATGGTGTGCCAACCTACTTCCACATTTAATTCTCAGAATGCAACCTACAGCCAAGCTTAAACTTAACCTTTAGCAAAAGTTAAAACCTACTGTGTCAGTTGAAAATCCAAGTCCCAAATAGAGAAAGAGGAAACAAGAATACCGTAGTGTATTTTGTTACACTTACAGAGCATCCAAATGCCAGCAGCCTAGTATGTGTGTGGTCACTCTGATTGACCTGGCCTCCAGTCCCCCTGCTTGGTCTCTATGCTCTCCCCAGGCGGTCCCACAGGACCCCTGTAAGCCACACAGGTTCCCTTCACTCTCCTTCTCCTTTTCCACATCTTGGTGGGAACTTGGAGCAGATCTAAAAAGGCAAAAGCACTTGAAGAAAAGGTAGAACAAAGGGATCCTAAGAAACATCATGCTGTCACTCCTTCACGCCAATACTTGTTAAGCTTCTTCTGTGTGTGTCATGCTCAGCCAGAGACAGCGGCCTTCATGACGGTGTAGGGGTATCATGTCTGGGTCCCCGAGACCCTCATCGGGTTCACCGATTCAGTAGAAGGACTCACAGAACTCCAGAAAGCTCTTACACTCATGGCTTTGGTTTAGTACAACAAAACGATGCAGACGAAAATCAGTGAAATCTGAAGCTGCTTAGGGCAGAGTCCAAGAGATATGAGGCATGAGTTTCCAGGTATCCTCTCCCCATGGACCTGTGGATGCTACTTAACTCTTCCAATGACTGCGTGTGGCAACATGCATGACGTATTGCCAACCAGATTTGTTCACCAAGCCTTGGCGTCCGGGAGTTTTCTTGGAGTCAGTCACTTAGCATAGAGCATGCACATGGTTGACCTGAGTTATTGCTTGACTGGCCTTTCTACACGGTCGAGTATGGCACAGCCCAAATCTCCATCCTAAATCACACTGTAGCATCTAAACTACATGCCATGGCTCCAGGCAAACAAAGACGCTCTTATCAGGTAGGACATTTCACGGGCTCATATGCAAGCCTCCTTCCAGGAGCTGGTCAATGGCTAGACCTTAGTCTGGAAGGGGCAAGTGTAGACAATCCAGGTCTGCTGAATTAACTCTTTACCTTGGAGGCGTGTTGTGAGATTTTTCAAGCTTCAGGGACTCAAGTGGCGTAAGAATCTGGAACATTCCTCCCACCAGGGAAGATACTCAGTGGAACATCCTCCACTTTCTTCAAATCTCCCCCTTGATTCCGATCCCTGCATCCAACTCCCTGCTCGACGCCTCCACATCCTGTCTCCACGGAGAAGCCCCTTGAACATGGCAAGACTGAGCATGGCATCTCCTCCCGCAGCTCCACACCCTTTGCCAGCTCCTCCTATTTGCCCAACTCAGACGCAGCATCACCATTCCTGCCATTTCTGCAGTGAACATGGGTGCCTCTAGTTTTGTTTTTCGTTTCTGTTCTGGCCATTGTGTTCCTCACAGTCGTCTCTCGACCGGTGCTTCTTCTGCTCCTCGGCTTCCAAGACCACAAATTAGGAAGGGCTCTCTGGCAGAGACATTCACAGTGTCATCGACAGAGATACACCCGGGGAGAGCTGGCCCATTGCACCTCATGACTGCCGAGAGGTGACCCTCACAGCCAGTCCCCATCCATGACAAGATGTCACCCATTCCCTGTGACGTTCAGCTGACCATGATCACCAGCCCTGTATCTGCATCCCACCAGGAGTTAGTGTGTCCTTGTCCAGATGAAACGTTGCTCACTCTTCATCCTACTGTTGTTCATCTCCTCACCCAAAGGCCCTACATTGGAGATATTCAATGCTGTCTTTGTGTCGCCAGCCCCCATGGCCCTTCTGCTTAGCCTTGTCCTACCACGAGCTGCAAACCTGCTTCCTACCCACTCCCCTAGGTTCTAACCAATACGGGCGCTCAATAAACGTCTGATGAATTGAATGGCACAGAACTCAGTCCATGGCAAAAAGCCAGCAACACCTGCCATCCTGGGCAGAGTCAATGACCCATCAGATTGACCTTGGGAAGATATGGTTGAGCACATGAATGGTGAAGGGGCGTGGCTCCTTGAGGAACGGGGAGCCAGGGACGCATATCCTGCCCACTTGTGTGGCCGTCACACCCCTGATCAGCTGTCTTCAGAGACCTAAGAGGCTGATGAACTTACCCACCGTTCACAGGTTTCTTAATCATATATATACAACGAAAAAACATCACCGGAAGGGGGAGGGCGCTAAGGAGAAAGGGGAAGTCTCGGGTTGAAGTGTCTCTGCAATGCAATCAGTGTGCTCACTTTCTGACCCAGCAGAGAGCTGTCCAAGACAACAACCAGATGTCGGAGCGCCAGGAAACCGAGAAAGCAAACAGGTGGCCAGAGCAGAGCCTGGTGCAGTGGGGTAAGGTGGCTCCCTTTATTCTCTGACCCTCAAACGTACCCTGTCACTAGGATACCTGTTCCTCCTCCTGTTGCTGCTGCTGGAAGCTCCTGGGGAAGTCAGGGAGCACCCAGGGGTGGGAGCTGGGAATCTCCAAATGAAGGTGCCCAACAGGGAGGTAACTCCAACAGCCCGTGGGCACTGTGTTAGAAGGTCTGAATTAGCACCAGGGATTGACCAACTTGCACTGGGAGCAGGCTAAGCCCCTCATGCAACTCTGCGTGAGTGTTAGAAGCCGCTATGGATTACTCCAGAGTCTTGGATGCAGGTGGTCGTCCGCACAGGGAAGCGGTGGTCCCTGGATCCTGGGGAGGCACTTTGCTGGCAGTGGCTTGTGTCAAAGCCCCCGGCAACAAGTGCAGAGCTGCTGGCCATCCTGGACCACAGGTGTCTTTGGGGACCACTGCATTTCACTCCTTATCTTGCCCACGCACGGTGACGGGTTGCATCCACCCACCACCCATGCCCCCGACTACAGGGAGGTCAACATCCAGGTTCACCCCAGGGATGCCCACAGGCTGGGAGCACATGCACTGCCCAGTCTCTGATCTGATCCCATCTGACAGATGGAGCCGGTATCTGTGAAGGTCTTAGGAGGAGATAAAGGGGAAGAAAACCCTGTCTGGAGAAAACCGAAAGAAGAAGGGAAAGTGGGTAGTCAGTGGACAAAAAAAAGAGCAAAGTAACGTCTGAGTTTTCATTCATATGAAACAAGAGGCTCAAGCAAATCTGCAGAGTGGGAGGGAAGACTGCAGAGTGTTGGTTTCTTGGGGTTGGGGTCCTCCTTTGGGAGGGATGAGAATGTCCTGGCTCAGGTAGAGGTGATGGCTGAACACTCCCCAGTGCTAAGTGCTGGGGAGTTGTACACTTTAAAAGGGTGGATTTTGCCCCGGGTCTTAAAAATCAACACAAAAATTAATTACATGAAGTGTGAGATCTCCACGGGCTTCAGTTTCTCATCCACTTGCATGAGGATACTAGGAAATCCTCCGCAGGATGGGTGTGAGCGGGAAACTAGGAGCCGGGTGGAAGATACCTGTGCTTGGTATGCCCAGGCGATGGAGAAATCACGGCGCCAGTTACTTCACGCGGCCCCCGAATTATCCTCCGCAGGGTTTGTCCTCACCCTTGGCCGAGAGCCCCAGGTTATGACTCACCAGCTAATTAAAACAGCAGCCCTTGCTAGATCACCTTGCATATCACCGTTGGGTAGGTGATAACGTCGTTGCTTGTTTTTTGAGGGTTTTTTTAAAAGTCAAGTTTACAGAAGTTTGCTTTTGCTCCATCACGATGAGCAAAGAGAACAAAGAGAAGCGAGAGGAGTTCAGTTTAGAGGAAGCGGAATGGGGAACTGTCCAGCTCAGGGTGTATTTCCATGCAGATTCCCTGTGGGGCATGGGTTGGGGTGTGCATGCACAGGCACCAGCTTCATGTAACAGTCTCAAAGCAGGTACTATGGGAGGCTTGAAGAAATGAGGAGAAAAGCAGATTCAAGAAGCTTGCGGTGGGGTGCGGGGGTGGTGAGTGGAATGAAACCCCTCCATGCCCTGCTGCACTGCACCTCCCCTTCCTGATTAAGGACAGCTCCGTTCAAAGAAGCCAGGGTGTTCACACAGACTGCAAATGTGAAAATCACGGCAGAGACAAGGCAGGAATAGCAAAAGGCAATGGTAGGGTCAGCCACGACCAGGGAAGGGTCCACCCTGAGAGCTTCTTGGGTGCACTATGGAGGGCATCACCCCACCCAGGGCCAAGAACCCCAGACACGACACAGAGAAGGGCTGGGTGGAGCAGGGTCCAGCTTGTAGATGGAGGAAGCTGGGAACTTCCCTATAGCACTAGAGTAAAAGGTGTGTGGGAGCCAGGGAAGTTGGGACAGGTCTGGTCTGAGGTTTTTATTTCCTCTTTTATAGCAAGGGTGGTGCCCTAGGAGGGAGTGGACTCCGGGAGGTTAGGAGACAGGACCCGAGGCTGGGTGCTGCTCTACAGGTGCACTCAGGAACACATGTGCACACCTGGCTTGGGGAGCTGGCTGGACTCTGCATTGTTGGGAAGGCTGAGAAGCTGGTGCAGGTGCAGGAGGCAAAGAGGCTGTGGCATCTACACAAGCCAGTCGACCGTCAATAGACAGGTGACCCATGAACGGCACAGGGTGGGTGGAAAGGAGGCAGGTGGTTGGGGAATATAGAGAATGAGCCTCACAGCTCAGACGTCTGCAGGGGCAGGGATCCATGAGGTAAGGGATCCTACAGAGGGCAGAGGAGCTCCCTGGGTGGGGCTGCACATCAAGGAGAGGAGGAGCCCAAATGTGCTGAACTGGCCACATGTGGGAGGGAGATGCTGTGTCATTGATAGGAGCTGGGCTGGAGAGGAGTCCAAGGGGAGAAAAAGACAGTCTGTGAAGACAGGTGCCAGCTGGGAGGCGAGGACATGGAGGTCCAGGTGTCGTGGCAGGGGTGGAGGGGGGTAATGTCAGGAGTGTGATGACTGGGTGTCCAAGAAGCAGACACTGGACAGGATGAAATAGAGGAGGAATTGGTGAGAGAAAGGTCTGAGAAGGAGGAGGGAGAGAGGAGGAAGGGGAGGAAGAGAGGAGGAAGGAAGGAAGGAAGGAAGGAAGGAAGGAAGGAAGGAAGGAAGGAAATTGAAAAGGAAATGAGGGAAGGAAAATAGAGAAAGGAAAGAAAAAAAGAAGGAAGGAGAGGATGAGGTAAGGAAGGAGAGAGGGAAGACAAAAGAGGAGGAAGGAAGGAGGGGAGGAAGGAGGGAAGAAGGGAAGGAAGGACGGAAAGGGAAGGAAGGAGGGAGGAAGGGAAGGAAAGTACAAAGGAGGGAAGAGAAACAGGAAAAAAGGAAAGAGGGAAGGAAGGAAGGAAGGAAGGAAGGAAGGAAGGAAGGAAGGTAGGAAGGGAGGGAGGGAGGGAGGAAGGAAATTTGTGGTCATTTGTTCCATCAGCCGCCAGGAAGCTAATACACCAAGAAAAAAGAGGCAGTGTTTAGACGGACAGCCTCTATAAACCCACGGAAATTACAGAAAGCACGATTGTGCACCGTAAAAGAGAGAGAAAGGAACCTCCAAGAAAAGACAAGGCCCTAAAAAGGATGAGGTCACAGGGAACACAGAGATGAAGAGCAGCAGACGCAGTTAGTGGCCGAGAGGGAGAGAACTACGTACAGACGTGGGACCCCCACTACAAGTCAGCCAAAGAACAAGCACCAGCAAAAATGCCCCCAGGGCAGTGGTGGGCAGCCCCCAAGACGCCACCCCAAACACAAGCAGAGCATCACGTGTTCTCTGTTGAGTGCAGCTTTGTGGGACCACAGCCCTTCGCTTCTGTACTTACGTGTTTAAAAAGTTTTTAATAGACTTTGGTTTTTTTGAGAGCAGTTTTAGATTTACAGACAAATTTAACTGGAAAGTACAGGGAATCCCTATGCATGCACTTCCCCTTTGACCCAGTCTACACTATTATGAATATTTGGCATCAGTGGCGCCGTCTATTATCATTGATGGGCCAATATTGATACATTATTATTGATTAAAGCCCACAGTTTACATTACAGCCACTCTTGGTGGACATTGGACATTCTATGGGTTTGGACAGATGTGTAATGACATATATCCAGAATAATAGTATGATACAGAGTAGTTTCACTGCCCTAAAAATCCCCTGTGCCCTCCCTACTCATCCTGTCCCTTCCCCAAACCCTGGTTTTTTACTGATTTTTTTTTCTGTCTCCATAGTTTTCCCTCTATCAGAATGTTGTAATGTTTGAATCAAACAGGATGTAGCATTTTCAGACCAGCTTCTTTCATTTAGTAAACGTATTTAAACATCCTCCATGTCCCTCTGTCACTTACCCCTTTTCCTTTTCCTCTTTTTTTTAAACATACCCTTTTTGATTGTTGTGAAACTCAAGTTTTTTAAATAAAGGAAAAAAAAAACTAAAAAAACCCTTATTGTCATAATGGAAACCTGACCTATCATTTCTTTTTCTACTATCCAAAAATCCATTGTAAAAACACTCAGAGCATGTGTCAATTATACTCACATTAAAGTATTTTATTTATTCATATATTTTGTAAAATGTTATATTTATTTATTCATGAGAGACACACACAGAGAGAGGCAGAGACACAGGCAGAGGCAGAAGCAGGCTCCACGCAGGGAGCCTGATGTGGGACTCGATCCTGGGTCTCCAGAATCACACCCTGAGCCAAAGGCAGACGCTTAACTGCTGAACCGCCCCGGCATCCCTCACATTAAAATATTTTTTTATGTTTTTAAAGATTTTATTTATTTATTCATGAGAGACACACAGAGAGAGGCAGAGACATAGAGGGAGAAGCAGGCTCCATGCAGGGAGCCCGACGTGGGACTCGATCCCGGGACTCCGGGATCACGCCCTGAGCTAAAGGCAGACGCTCAACCGCTGAGCCACCCAGGCGTCCCCCTCACATTAAAATATTTTAAACAAGAATTTTAAAATTTAAATTATACAAACAAGAAAAAAGAGAAAGCCAGAACAATGAGAAGCTTATGAAAGTGGGCGTAATATTCCCCCAAAAGCATCTTAAAATCACTATTATGTGTCAGCCATGGCTTCGAGGCTCATCCGAACAATGAGTCAAGCTTGATGTAAAGCAGATGGGTGGATCTGTAGAGTAGATTCACGGGGCAGTGGTAGTATTTCCCCACAGATGTGGGAGATGGTTTTGCAACCGCCTCTCTCAGGAAGTTGATCCTGGAGAAAAGAGAAGTTAGCGAGCCGGTTCCTGTTTTGTGTGTTATGTGGGTTCTGGAGGAGGTGGACGGCCCCGGCCATTCTCTGCAGGTGGAATTGGAAGGGCTTGGTGGCCTTGTGCCCTTGGTCCTGTCCCTGCTCCCCGCCCTGAGGCTGGTTGCAGCCTGTAGACCCTCTGTAGCCAGCAGTGACCCCCTAGCTGGCCAGGCCAGCAGGCTGACCATCAGGCCGGGGATGGTCCTATGTCTTCCTGCAGAGCATCTCCCCGAGGAAACCTTGCTGAGTCCCCCTCCCAAAAACTCCCATGACAGTTGATTTCTTTAAAATGTGACTGTACCTACAGGGCTTCCTCATCCCTCGGGCAGTCCCACGAGACTCGTGGCCACAACTGTCCTGCTCTGCATGCTATTGGACCCAGTCATCCTCCAGACTCTAGGGCACCAGGGTAAGTGTGTGAACCTGTCTGACCCTTCTCCGACTGTCTCATTTCTACATCCTGTGTGTCTTGGGATACATCCTGATGGCCGAGTCCAACCTCAACTCATCCTCGTATGTGCTGGTCAGTCAAGTGACACAACGCCAGATGCTAAAGTGTTTTCTTGCCTCTGTTCTAAAAGGCCCTTCCTAATCCTGCCTTATTTTTTTAAAGATATTTTATTTATTTATTCATGAGAGACACACACAGAGAGAGGGGCAGAGACACAGGAAAGGAAGAAGCAGGCTCCATGCAGGGAGCCCGACGGGGACTCGATCCCGGGTCTCCAGGATCACGCCCTGAGCTGAAGGCGGTGCTAAACCGCTGAGCCACCCGGGCTGCCCCTAATCCTGCCTTATGATATGGTCACGCACCAGAGCTGCAAAATGTGGCTCATCAACCCTAATTCTGGAGAGTGGGACATTGGCGGGGGGGGGGGGGATGTCTCACCCTGCCAGGGACTTTTCTGCAGGGTAGAACTTTTCTGCAGTAGTAACATGCTGACTTAAACATGTGGACAGAGGAAGCAAGGTGAGCCCCCTCTCCCCTCCATAGCAGGTGGCAAAGGCAACATCAACATCAACTGACTAGTAGCTGTCTGCCTGCGGTAGCTGGATGTTGATTATCAGGCCACGTATCACCATTTTAGGAAGGATTAAAGGTAAACATACTTAGGTTTTAGGTGTATATGGTGAGGATCACTGGGAGGGATATGGGGTCACTGGGGCATCAGTAAGAAAATGGTGCTGGCCAGAGGGCTGAGGAATAGGGACACTGGTGGATGGTCAGAAGTTAAAGAATGCTGCCCTCCTCCAGGTGAAATGTACCGTGTCAGAAGACACAGGTCAGGGGAGCTCATGGGGGACCGGGTAAGGACACCAGTAACCCCCATTCTTCCCCAAGGGATGTTCTCAGGGACCACTCCCCAGGGCTAGGAGCCCCAAGAGCTGCTGAGTCGCAAATTGCTTTTGCATTGAACCAACCTCTTGAGGGCAGAGATGTCATTGCTCAATCAGTGAGAATGGAAACCAGGGAACAGAGACGTTAGGCAACGTGCTGGAAGTGACACAGCTGGTACAGACCGAGCGGGGACTCAGGCCCACGTCTGTGTTTCTAAAAGGGGCTCTGCTTTTAAAGTATGGACGGTGTCAACACAACGTCTTTGCTGCCCCAAGAAAGGAGATAAGGGAATGGTGGGGATGGCTGTCTCCCTGTCCTCCACACAGAGGGCCTGTGGGAATCTTCATATACTTTCACAAAATCCGTGCAGTCCAGCCTGGCCTTTCTCCTGAGGGTTGTGTATGGAACTGATGGACTCTCCTAACTCAGAAGTCCACAGGTCCAGGGATGTGCAAGAGCTGGCTCAGTCCAGGGAGGAGATGTGCCCTGCATGCATCCATGTCATCAGATTTCTGTTGACCTTTGAAGACTTCCTGGGTTGGGTATGACCTCGGGGGCATATGAAACTCTTGTAAGACCCACAGGCTAAGACCAAGATCCATAGAACTGTTGTGGATGGACAGTCATTGTTGTCTTTGGCTGGGAAGGTAGGAGAAGTCTGCAGGAAGCCGAGGACATGCCAGGGAGGGAGGAGGGTCAAGAAACTCAGGAGATAAGTGACTTATTTGCAGGCTCTGGAGACCTGGAGAGAGATGGTCCCTGTGTTGGGGGAGGTGGGGTGGCACCTGGAATAAAGGAGGATGTGGGTATGAGGCACCCAGCACAGAGGCCGTGCATGCTGAGAGACTTAAAATACAAACGGACAATGGGCAGAGCATCCTTAAGAACAGAACCCGGCCCATGAGCTGCCCAGGGGACCAGCCTCATCTATGGGGACCAGCCCAGAAAGCCAGCCTGCTGTCTCCACATCAGTCATGCAAGGAGCCAGATGTCCGTCCCCATGACTACCCAAGGAATTAAACGATCATTTCTGGAACAACCAGGCCCCATTGGACAGGACTTGATCAGTAACTAAAGGCTTCCCTATGTTTTGACCCCACTTCCTATATAGGACCAACCAGAGAGCCAGGCATGGTCCCCTAACCAATCCCATAGGATGCTCTACTTGTAGTGAGCCACCTGCATCGTCCCCACACCCATAGCCTCTGCTCAGGGCACAACCGAAAAGCACCTTTTGTCCACTATGAGATTTGCCCATTGCCTTGTCCACCCTTGAGTCTCTGACGAATGCCAGTGATGGCCAACTTCCTTACCATAGCAAGCTCTGAATAAATAGCCTCCGTTTGCTCTCACTTGGTCGGTCTTGGATTACTTGCCTGGTAGGCATCCTCACATAGAGGGAACGCCTAGGGGGACCGGGGTACGGGACAGCCTGTCCCAGCCTTCAATTTTCCTTATGAGACATGGGATAGGTCAAGAGGCAGTGGGTAGAGATGGGAAAGCGATAATCTTTTAATCTGGTGGTCCCGTCCTTCAGATCTTACAACCGTGGAAGGATTCCCCCGTCTAAACTTGAAGTTTGACTCGAGGAGAATGGAACTGAGTTGGGACTGCAAGGAAAACACTATGTACCTCAAGTGCGTGATGATCCACAAGGAGAAAGGGCCAATCGAAATAATGGTAAGATGGATTCGATACGGACGATCGTTATCCTTTACAAAGCTCTCATCACTGTAGAAACAAAGCAGCGATAGGCGGGAATGGGGACCATGCGTGTGACATCTGGGACACATCTAGAGGCCATGCTTCTAGGTGAACCAGGGAAGTTAGCGCTGGCCCGTGGTCAAGACATGCCTGATGGCCTGATTCTCTGGGGGACTGAGGAAAATGTCTTATCCCAAAAGGAAAAGGAGTTCAGGGCTCCCGAGGAAGGAGCCACAGCCCAAAGCTCCTATGAGTTCAGACACGGCACAGGTTGTAGGGTGGGACCCTCGGGGATGCTCAACCACCTAAAGAAGGGAAAAATGGGGTAGACTGGTGGGACGGGGGATCCAGGGCAACACAGGTAGATTTCAATCAGGCACCTGAATGCTCCCAGAATTTCCAGGGATCTCTTTCAGGGAGGCAGGATTTCCCACAACAGGCATCATGGGGAAGATGAGCAACTTGTTCTGTGAGTTTCAGGCTTCTGTGTCCCTTGGGGGGATGTTGCGTAGGAAAAAACGCCCTCCTGCCAACAGAAACAGTAGCCTTTTGCTCGATTGATCCATCAAAAATCAGCCACTGGTCAGATTTAATCCCACGAGAAAGAAATCATGTGGGTTCTAGGTGTTTGACGGAAACAAAGTAACCAAATGGCTGGATACAATGTAAACATTTCTGTGGGAGAAAAACGATAGGACAAGAAAACGGAATAAACTAAAAGAGGGTGCGGTAAGCTCCGTAATGTCTCAGGTGGGGAGAGATCTCGCTGCTCAGAGTTGTGATCCATCAGCATCACCTGGGAGCTTTGTTACAAATGTAGAATCTTCTTGGCCCCACCTGGAACTCGCTGCACCGGAGTCTGCATTTTAACGAAACCCCTGGTGACTGAGGGCACCCTGCAATGGGACCTCTATTCTGGCCTCCTAAATGCTGTAGACCACCGAGGCAAGGTCCCACCTTCACGGGGGCACGCCGACATCCCCCCAGACAACGTATGTGGGGGGGGGGTGGCATCACGGGGCCAGTGGAAGAGCAAACAGCATGGAGAGGAAAAGGAAAAAAAAAAGTTTCCTAATGCCCTGGCTGGTTGCGTCTTTTTAGCTCAAGGAGAATGAATGTCACTGCAAGTTTCCGGATTATCCTCTCCATGAGGGCGTCATGTTCATGGTTAAAGTAAATAGCATCCAAAGACCGATTCCAGAAACACTGGTCTACACTAACCCAGGTAGGGGAAACATCACAGTGATCCTTCTGCACATCACTAGCCCCAAGGTAGAGCCCTTCTCTTTTTCTCAGCTTTTTTGAGATTTCCTTGGCATGTAGCTATTAAATATATTAAATTATGATATATAAATATATTATATATAAAATTATTATATATAAAATATTAATGTGTATTTATAAGATATTTAAATTAAAGCCTTAATATACATACATGTTGAGAAATAATCACTGCAATTAAGCTGTTATCCCTCCCTCCAGCCCCTGGAAACCACGATTTACTCTCTGTGTCTTGCATTTGCCACGTGTTAGCTATTGTGAGTAATACTCCAACAACCGCGGGAGTGCATATATCTTTTTGGGATCCAGATTCCATTTCCTTTGGAAATATGCCCAGACGTGGGATTGCCGGGTGACACGGGGGTTCTAATGTGAATATTTAAAGGAATTTCTCCTGTTTTCCACTGCGGCCACACCAGCTTACATGACAGCGCGCAAGTTCCCTCTTATCCACATCTTCACCAGCATTTATCTCTTGACTTTTTTCGACCAGTCATTTAGCAGGTGTGAGGTGATAGCTCGCTGCGGTTTCTATTTGCATCCCTTTGACGATGAGTGATGTCGAGCACCTTTTCATGTAGCTGTTTGCCATTTGTACTTCTTCTTTAGAAGACATTCAAAACTATTCAGTCCTTTGGAGTTTTTTGGGTTTGGGTTTTTGGGGAGTTTTTTTGGCCTTTGGGTTTTTTTGCTATTGAGTTCTTTGAGCTCCTTATATGTTTTGGGTATATGTATATATATTGCAGATATTTTCTCCCATTCCATAGGCTTCCTTGTCACTCTGTTGATTATTTCCTTCACTGAGTGGAGGCTTTATAGTTTGACGTAATCCCAGTTGTCAGTTTTTGGGTTTGGTGCCTCTGGTTTGGGCGTCATATCCAAAAAATCATTGCCAAGAAGTCTTTCCCCCATGTTTTCTTCCACTCGTTTTGCAGTTTCAGGTTTTGTGTTTCGATCTTTAATCGATTTTGATTTGCTTTCCATATCCAGTGTGAGATAAGGATCCTCTTTCATTCTCCTGCTTATGGTTGTCCAGTTTTCCCATCACCATTTAGCAAAGAGAGAATCCTTTGTCCATTGTGTGTTCTTGGCATCCTTGTGGAAGGTCAACCCTGTTGACCATAAGTCCGTGGATTTATTTCTGGGTTCTTTTATGTCCCACTGATCTATGTGTGTATCTTTATGCCAGGACCATACTCTTTTGGTTACTGTGGCTTTACAATGTATTTTGTGATCAGGAAATGTAATGGTTCTAGCTTTGTCCTTCTTGCTCAAGATTGCTTTGGCTATTTGGAGTCTTTCATGGCTCCATATGGATTTTAAGATTCTTTTCCTATTTCTGTAAAGAATGCCATTGGGATTTTGATAGTGATTACATTGATCTATAGATCACTTTGGGTAGGTTGGATATTTTAACGCTATTAATCACTCCAGTTCACAAACACGGGATCTCTTTCCATTTATCTTTATGTTCTTAAATCTCCTTCGTCAATGTTTTATAATAGTCAGTGTAAAAGTTTTTCACCTCCTTGGTTTAAGTTTATTCCTTTTTTATTCTTTTTTATTGCTATCAAAAAAAAAGACTATTCCTTTATTTTATTTTATTTTATTTTATTTTTATTTATTTTTAAGATTTTATTTATTTATTCATGAGAGACACAGAGAGAGAGAGAGAGGCAAAGACACCGGCAGAGGGAGAAGTAGGCTCCCTGCAGGGAGCCCGATGTGGGACTCAATCCCGGGACTCCAGGGTCATGCCCTGGGCTGAAGGCAGGTGCTAAGCCACTGAGCCACCCAGGGACCCCCTATTCTTTATTTTTGAGTAATCTGTACACCCAGTGTGGGGCTTGAATTCACAACCCCAAGATCGAGAGTCACATGCTCTACTGACTGAGTCAGGCAAGTATCCCAGGATTATTTTTTTAATTCCTTTTTTGAACAGATCATTGTTAGTTTAAATAAAAGCAGTGAGAGTGCCTACCTTGACCTTGTTTCTTACCCTACAAGGTAAGCTTTCAGGTTTTTTTCCATTGAGTGTGATGTTAGCTATGGCCTTTCCATATTTGTCCACTATTGTGTTGATACAAATTTCTTCTATACCTATTTTATTTTTTTTAATTTTATTCATCCATTCATGAAAAACACACACACAGAGAGAGAGAGGCAGAGACACAGGCAGAGGGAGAAGCAGGCTCCATGCTGGGAGCCCGATACAGGACTCGATCCCGGGTCTCCAGGATCATGCCCCGGGCTGAAGGCAGGCGCTAAACTGCTGAGCCACCCGGGCTGCCCTTCTATACCTATTTTATTGAAAATTTTTATCATGAATGGATGCTGAAATTTGTGAAAGATGTTTTCTATAGCTACTGAGACAATCATGATTTTTTATTTCATTCTGTTAAAGTCATGAAGCACACTCATTGATTGGTGTGTGTTGAACCATCTTTGCATGCCGGGGATAAATTCCACTTGGTTACGACACACAATCCTTTTAACATGCTGTTGGATTTGCTTGCTAGAATTTTGTTAATGATTTTCACATCTATGTTTATTAGGATATTGGGATGTGATTTTCTTTTCTCATGTCTTTGTCTGGGCTTGGTATGGGGGTGATCCTGTCCTCCTAAAATGAATTTGAAAGTATTCCCTCTTCTTCTATTTTTTTGGAAGAGTTTAAGAAAGATTAGTGGGGCACCTGGGAAGCATAGTTGGTTGAACATCCAACTCTTGGTTTCTGCTCAGGTCCTGATCTCAGGGTCCTGGGTTCAAGCCCCAAATCAGGTTCCCTGCTCAGCAGGGAGTCTGCTTGGGATTCTCTCTTTCTCTATCTCCCTCTGCCCACGTTGTCTCTCTCTCTCTCTCTTTTTCTCAAATAAATAAATAACATCGTATAAAAGAAAAAAGGATTGGAATTAATTATTCTCTGAACGTTTGGTAGATTCCAACCGTGAAGCCACATGATCCGCTTCCACAAATTATTTTGTTTTTGTGGCTTCTCAGGTGGGATGGGCACAGCTGCCCAAAACTTCTCCTGTTTTATCTACAATGCAAACTTCATGAACTGCACTTGGGCAAAGGGTCAAGCTGCCCCTGATGACGTGCAATATTTTTTGTACATACGAGACTTGAAGTAAGTATTGACCTCGCTCGTGGAGACAACCCTGGGAAGTACATTGGGCGGTGGAGGGGGAGCCCTGGTTATCCTCTAAACACTTTGGAATTTTATAGACAAAGAAGGGAAAGAGAGTGTCCTCATTATTTAGAAGACTCAGGAATCCACGTAGGATGTCACTTGGAAGACCTCTCGGGATTAGCGTACTACAATTACTTCCTGGTGAATGGTACCAGCCAAAGGACAGGAATCCAGTTCTTTGATTCGATTTTGTTCTGGAAGAAAATAGGTAAGACCAAGGACGTCCTGTGGTATAAAGAGATGCTTAACGGGTGAACCGAATTTGCGGTAGGTTTGGAAGAAGAGAAATGTATTCTCTTGAAGTTCTGGAGGCCAGAGACCCAGAAACAAGGTGTTGGCATGGTTGCTTCCTTTTGGAAGGAAGCCAAGTAAAGGGTGCAACCCATCCTTTTACTCTGAATTAAACTGGGTGACAAGATGTGCCTGCACTGATGGTGGATCCTCCTCCACACCACCAAGGAAGCCAGGGCCCTTCCAAAGTGCCCATAGTCCCCGAGCGCTGGCCCTGGCACTACCCCAGCCCAGACGGGCAGGTATTGTCCACATCTGGGCAGTGAAGCCTCTCGGGACAAAAAAGAGTACGTTCAGACCAGGAGATGGAAGTTAATTCTGGCCCATTTGTGCACCTCCAAGTAGCAGCAGGCATCGCCATCTCTTGTCCTTTTTGGAGACCCTGTTGACAAACAAACGCCAACTCTCCAGTGAAGCTTCACAGGCCATTGGCCACCCTCATTTCCCACCTCCAGGCTCACCTATTGGGGGAGATCCAGGTGTCTGTACCCAGCCAAGTGGCAGGGGGGCACCCACATCCCTGGGCCTGCATTTCCTGCAGGCTCAGGAGACACCCCCTTTCTGGACAAACCTCCCATGGCCCCGACACGGCCACCCTCCTTCTGAGGGAATCCCTGCCTTTCTTTTTCCGTCCCCATGTTCCTAACATTTTTATCTAACCCAAGAAATCCCAATATTATTTCAAACTTCAGTCCTCTGCAGTTGTGACTTGCAATTAGAAATGCACATTTGGTCTCTGCTTCCTGACACACAGCCGCCAAAATGGGAATTTCCCCTGTGGAGAGCCGCCAAAATGTGCCTTTTGTTATGTCGAGGAGGTGACCGCTGAAAAGCCCCTAAGGATGGGGCTGGTTACCAGGGGAACAAACCCTGTGATTAGAGGATTGGAACTTTCATTCCTGTCCAGTGTGTGACCCAAAAGGGGCTGGTGGTTGAGCTCAACCTCCAACGGGCCTTGATTTAATCAATTGGGTTTACATCATGAAGTTTCTGTAAAATCCCAAAACGACAGGGTTTGGAGATCTTCTAGGTTGGCAGACAACATGCAGGTTTGGGCAGAGAGGTGCACCTGGTGAAGCTACGGAAGCAGCTCCATGCCCATCCCTAGAACTGGCCCCACGCATGCATTCACCAGGCTGATCCTGAGTTAGAGCCTGTGACAATAAACCCGTGATCTAGCGAGTGACTTGTTCCCTGGGCTCTGTGAGTCACCCTGGAAGATTAATGAGATCCCAGGAGAAGGTCGTCGGGTGCTCACATCTGTAGCTGGTGGGTCAGAAACACAGGTGACAACCTGGATTTCTGAATGGCGTGTGATGTAGGGCCTGAAGGGCAGCCTTGTAGGGTTGAACCCTCTACTCTGTGGGATCTGACACCATGTCCAGGTAGATAGGTCAGAGTTCAGTTGACATGTAGGACATCCCAACAGGTAGACTGAGAATAGCATAGTGGTGGGAAGAGGGACCCTATCTATCCATCAGAACCGGGTGCAGAATCCTAAATACACATCACAACCCTGAGCAAGGGAGGGAAAAATAAATCCGGAGTGTGCTTCCCAGTGAAAATGCAACTCAGTTTCAAGGTTCATTGTGATCAGACACACGGGATGTGGATTTACAACCAAGTTGCCCTCAAAGGGTTTGGGTAACGGGATCCACTCTCGGTGTTGAGATCGGAATGCATGCTAGTTAAGTGGGATCAGACACAGGATGCCCATAACGCCCATCCCGACCATTGGTGGAACCCACCGTAGAGGGTCACATGGGATATCCATTGAAGGACCCTGGAGCTCCGCCGGTCTTCTCAGACATGCATCCTCTGTCCCCATTGGAAACCAGCCTCGGCTGTCCCCACGGTGGCCCCGTCCCTGGCCAGTCCCCATATTTCCATCCTTCCCACACGTTGGGTTCGCCAACCCCTCCCTGCAGCCTGCTAGATGGTCCTGTGTGCACACCGCTGAACCTGCACACAAGCCAGCCGTCCTCTTCCTTCCTCAAGACGCAACACTCCTATCCACGGCATGTGCCTCCAGGTGACCCCGGGAGCTGACCATCGATGTGCAGCCCACAGAACTGGGTCTGGCCTCTGAGGCCCGGTGGCAGCCTGGAGGCTCAGGGAGCGTCCCGGGTTCTCGTTACAGAAATATACAGCCCGCCCAACAATATCAGCGTGCACTGCAACGTGTCGCACTGTCTGATCCAGTGGGGAAAGCCTGTGACCCGACACGCCCTGTCCAACAGGGAGTTCAAGTACCAGCTGGACATCCAGAGACTGGTGAGTGGACTCTGCCCCCAGGCAGGACACTGTGCCGCACAAGGAATGGGGAACCCTCCCCGTGACCCAGATCAGTGGAGACGTGTGGGGCCGGGTGATGCACGGGGACAAACACAGGGACGGCTGTGCTGGACAGGACATGCCCTGGGCGCGAGGGTCACCACCACGGCCAACCCCACAAAGGTGGTCACACACCCAGGTGGATCCCGAAAGCCTTCAGAGGATCTACAAGCAGGTGCAGAACAGACAGGACCTTCTGCTACTTGTCCACTTGGATCCCACCTGAGGAAGAGGGATTCTCTCCTCCACACCCACCTGGGCCCAGTGTAGACAAGGAGAACACTCTGCACCATGACCACCTGAATTCAGCATAGAGAAGGGAACTCTCAACTCCACATCCACCTAGATCCAGTGTAGACAGGGAGTACGCTTTTTTCCTTGACCACTTAGACCCAGTGTAGACAAGGATGAGCCATCTCCTCCACATCTACCCGGATTCGGTGTACACAAGGAGCATCCTCTTCTCTACATCTATGGACCCCGTGTAGACAAGAGAGATTCTCTGCTTCATGATCACCTGCAATCAATGTAGACAAGGAGGAACCTCTGCTCCACCTCTGCAAGACCCAGTATAGACAAAGGGAGCCCTCTCCTCCACATCCACCTGGACTCAGTGTAGACAAGGAGGACTCTGTTCCACATCCACATGGACTCAGTGTAGACAAGGGGGAGCCCTGTCATTCATATCCACATGGACCCAGTATAGACAAGGAAGACCTTCTGCTCCATATTCACCTGGAGCCAGTGTAGACAAGGAGGACTCTGTTCCACATCCACATGGACTCAGTGTAGACAAGGGGGAGCCCTGTCATTCATATCCACATGGACCCAGTATAGACAAGGAAGACCTTCTGCTCCATATTCACCTGGACCCAGTGTAGACAAGGAGGACTCTGTTCCACATCCACATGGACTCAGTGTAGACAAGAGGGAGTCCTCTGCTCCAACTGCACCTTGATCCACTATAGATCCTCTGCTCCATGTCTGCTCTTATTTGGGCCCATCAGCAGGTGGTGTTCCAGGACAAGGCATGATCAGGGCACATCCTCCCTTGGTGTTCGAGTCCACCCACCCCCGTCTGGGTGACTTGAGGCAAAAGTAGTAGAGAGGGAGCTCAGCCCTTCACATGGCCCTGTGTAGACAAGGGGGATGTAGGTTACCCCTGACTGCACTCAGAGGGGACGATGAACGCATCCTGTAAGAATCCTCGAAATAGAGAGGAGTAAACCTAACTCTATTTTTTTTTTCCAGAAAAATAAGGAACACAGCGGGAACCAACTGGTGAGTTAGAACTCGGACCCAAAATATCACCCCGTACGGTAACATGGACACGCTGCCATGCACACGTGGCCGCCATGGTGGCCAGGATGGGGTGGGCTGTGAATGAGAGGGTGGCGGCTCCCGGGAGGACCGTCCCGTCAGTGAGGTAGGGGTGGGAACAGTCCGGCTGTGGGAACGGGGCTCATCTGGTCACACGTGCTCGGTCCCGTTCGTTCAAATAAGTGACTCCGGTCACATGCATCCATGTTGGTCAAGAGTAACCGCCTGTGAGCTTTAAGGAGACTGTGTCTTCCTTCACAACCCTCCTAGAGGACGATCCTCAAAGTCCTTTAGGGCATATCCTCCTCCATCCAATGGTGACATTTTACCCCATTAATGACCTCGCTGGGACATTTCCCGATGGCGGCTCTGCGCATGTCACGTGTACCTGCTGAATGATTTCTGCATCTATGTTGACGAGCACGGGAACCCCACGCGGGGTCCCGTGGTCATCAGAGGCCCCCCTCAATGTGCTGATTCATTGAAGCTTTCCCGCAAACTATTCCGTAAGCCGGACATGCATTAATTTAATGAACCGCGTATTTCTAGACGGCACGGATGTTCCACGCCGTGAGGTCACTGTTCTGCTTTCCGAGAGCGTGCTTCCGTCGTCCGTCCCAGGGTGGGGAAGGGGCGGGTGAGTGGGGAGACGGCCGCCTCTGACAAGACATCCCCATCCCTGCTTTTTCGAACATGGGGGACCCTGCATTCAAAGTTTCTCTTTTGTCCAAAGATTGAGGTGTCTGGTAATTGGGAAAATAAATACAACTTCCCGAGTCCAGAGCCCAGAGTCAAGCATACTGTGAAAATACGGACCTCAGACGCGCGGATCCAGAGGTGGGGCTCCTGGAGCCAGCCTGTGGAGTTCGGTACGTGTCCCCGGAGCATCCCCTGAATTCATCTCTGACCCCTTCCCATCCCCATCCCCATCCCCAGAGGCTCACAAGGGTTTCCAAGGGTCTCCACGATGCTCTGGGTTTTTTGGGTTTTTTTCCAAAGAAACACCTGCTAAGCATCAAAGTTGGGTGTCTTTCCTCCTAATGAGGAGGAATCCATTCATTCCAAGGAACTGAATGACCTACAGCTTTCACCACCTTCCTCCCTGCAACCTTTATGATGAGTTTGCAGGAATTGCATGGTTTGGGCCAAAAGCCAACCAGGTGCTCATGAAATCTGCATTTCCGCACTATTCCTCCCTCCTGGATATTTTCATAGTGTTTTAGCAAGCATTTGATGCATGCTATTTTCTTTTTCGTGATCCAAAATCAAAGACTTGTATAAGGGCGGGTATAAAATGCCCGTGAAATGTTTATCCAGAGGTAAAACGTAAGTTCAAAGAGACGGAGAAGCAATCGATGTACCCACTGGGATGGGACAGCGGGTTCTTAGCTACGAGTCCAAAGCGAGCAACAAGAAAATTGAATAATATGTCAATTGGTGTTCATTGAAATTAAAAACTTCTGTATCAAAAATAAATAAATAAAAAATAAAAAAAATTAAGGGATCCCTGGGTGGCGCAGCGGTTTGGCGCCTGCCTTTGGCCCAGGGCGCGATCCTGGAGTCCCGGGATGGAGTCCCACGTTGGGCTCTCGGCATGGAGCCTGCTTCTCCCTCTGCCTGTGTCTCTGCCTCTCTCTCTCTCTCTCTCTGTGTCTATCATGAATAAATAAAAATAAATATTAAAAAAATTTAAAAACGACTTCTGTATCACGTGGAATGAGCACTTTTTCAGTGAATGTATTATTGTTATAATTATTATTATTATAAGAGGGCACATTTCATATGTTAATATGGAAAACTCTCAAAACGTCAGACTCTCAATTTGGTTAGGATCATCCTTCTGGAACCAGAGTTTTTAATTGGATTTTTTAAAAATTGGATTTTTTTAAATTATTTTATTTTATTTATTTATGATAGGCACACAGTGAGAGAGAGAGAGAGAGAGAGGCAGAGACACAGGCAGAGGGAGAAGCAGGCTCCACCGGGAGTCTGACGTGGGATTTGATCCCGGGTCTCCAGGATCGCGCCCTGGGCCAAAGGCAGGCGCCAAACCGCTGCGCCACCCAGGGATCCCCTAAAAATTGGATTTTTTCATAGTAACAGCTACAATGTGCTGTGCTGCAAAAATAATGAATTGTAAAAAGAGCTCATCCAGATGATAAACGACACCAAAGATAGATCTAATACTAATTGTGAGGTAACTTTGGTCAAATTGTGCACCTGAAAAAGTGTGTTTTTGAGGGGTGAGGTCCATTTTTTTTATTCATTTATGAATTTTAAACTCAAAAAATTAATTAAACTTGGGGGAGGTCCGGTTTTATTTTTTTTGTATTTTTTTTAAGATTGTATTTACTTATTCATGAGAGGCAGAGACACAGGCAGAGGGAGAAGCAAGCTCCATGCAGGGAGCCCGATGCGGGACTCGATCTGGGATCCTGGGGTCATGCCCTGGGCCAAAGGCAGACGCTCAACCACTGAGCCACCCAGGTGTCCTGGGTATATAGGGTCCAGTTTTATTTTTTATTTTTTTACTTTTATTTTTCAGGGTCCAGTTTTTTTTTTATTATTTTATTTATTTATTTATTTATTTATTTATTTATTTATTTATTTATTTATTTATTTATTTTCAGGGTCCAGTTTTAAAGCGGGCTGTCACGTTATGGTTTGGGCGCTCCTGAGGGTGCTTTGAGGGAAGGTTTCGGGATGAGCACTTCCCTGAGGATTTCCCTCGTGCTCTGAGCATCTGTCCTTCGATGGCTCATCTGAAGGGGTCCGTGGTGTGTCCTCCTCTCTCCGCAGGCTCCGACGACCCCGAGGCCAGCCTTGTGCACATCTACATGCTGGTGGTCCTGGGGACCCTTGTCTCCGCCCTGATCATCGGTTGCCTTTTGAAAAGGTAACTCCGGTGGTGGGTTGGCGTCTTCCTTGCAAATGGGCAGGACGGACGGGGTGCATGTCTGGATGGGGCTCAGGGCGCCCGCTGGTGTGCCATCTGTCTGGGGAGCTCTAGCTGCCAGCCGAAGGGGGCCTCGTCATCACCCATGATGGGCAGCCCTGGACACTCATTCTTGGATGCTTCCAGGCCCCCGAGCCAACCCGTCCGGCCCCCACACGTCAGCTGCACAGTGGACTTCGTCCGAGCTCAGCGGTGCTTACACAGGGCTTGCATTCAGCCTCACGGCAGCGAGCTTCCTCTTTGTGGAATGCTTTCCCCTCCAACCCCTCCGCTGGCGGTTCATTTCCACCTGATAAGCCTCACCGGGTACTCAGGGATCCCCCCGCTCCTGACCCACTCCCTTCCTGGACGCCTCCACGGAGCCCAGCCTGAACCTTCCCGTGTACCTGCTTACCGCCAGCCTCTCCGCGGGCTCCTCCCTGGAAGGCTACCACGTCGTTTCCAGTGTGTGATCTCTGCACCAGGCAGGGTCCCGGGGCGTCTCGCAAATGCCTCTGAATGAACGTGCATCCATGAAATCATTAATTCCCACTTGCATGCAGGTTGCATGCAGATTGCATGATGTTGTGCAAAGCACGGGGACTTTTTGCAGCTGGTGGTCCTCCTGCATGATGTGGGGACCCCCTGGATGTCCTCCTGTGCTCACCCCCGAGGCCCCGCACCCTGGTAGGGCATCCTGGGTGTATCTCCCTCACGATGGACACGCGGTGTGGCTAACCGCACGGGAATGCTGCATAAGCACAAGGAGAGGATGGCGCCCAGGCTGCTGGATGCACGGGCGGCTTGACACCACCCCGTTCTCGGGGGACCCTGAACCTTCGGGGCCAAAGGGGAACAGGGGCAGCCTCGCGACCTGCTGCCGGAATGGGCACAGACCACGTGCCTTGCACAGGGACAGTTATCTTAATGAGAAGTTGTCTGAGTTTCCTGCAGCCACAGGAAAAAAATGACCACAAACCAGATGGTTTGAAATATTAGAAATTCAATCTGTCCCAGACATCTGAGCTCCAAGAGGGACAGGACCATCAAGGTCCAGGGCAGAGGCTCCGGGAGGGTCTGTCCTGCCTCTTCCAGTGTCTGGGGCCCCAGGCATCCCCAGGCTGGTGGCCGCGTCCCTCTGGTCTCTGCCTCCATCCTCTGTGTCTGCGTCTCCTCTTCTGTCTCTTCCAAGGACCCCTCATTGGACGTAGGGCCACCCTCATCCAGGATGACCTCATGTTAACATGATTCCATCTGCAAAGACCCTATTTCCAAACAAGATCCTGTTTCCAGATTCCGGGACTCAAGACTGGAATTTATATTTTTGGGGGGAAGCCCCTACTGAGCTGAGCAGAAGCAACTCCAGGTGTCCTGCAATGGGAGGGGCTTCTCCTGAAATAAGAGAAAAAAGCAAACGTGCCTTTGAAAATGCAGGAAGACTCTGATGTTGGGCAAATATGACATCTGCTTTAAGTAAAATCTAGGTGAAAATTAGCATTTATGTAAAAATGTTAGGAAAAAAAAACGATAAATGCAGCATGTAGACAGAAAACCTGCCGGACCGGAAAACGTGCTCTTGGTGGTTGTGTGGACGCAGGAGGAGACACACGCGTTGTGATCCTCAGGGACTCTGGAGGCTGCCCATGACCTGCCATGACCCCCAGTCCCATCCTTCCCCGTCTCTGTACCAGAGGGACCAAGTGAAGGTTCTAGAAATATCATCACGGGCGTCCCTATGTGCTCCTGTAGCATCTCCTACTTGCTCACTCATCCCAGAGTTGGTTTGTCCTGCTGTGAGTCTTCCGTGAAATTGTCCAGAGGCACGCGGTCCAGAGGCGTGTCACTGGGGGGTGGGGGAGACGTGTCCCGCGTCCCCATGTCCTCAGGGTCTTTCCTTCACACGCTTCTTGTCTTACCAGATTCCTCGCATCTCGGAGGCTTTTCCCACGGATTCCGCACGTCAAAGACAAATGGAACGACAACCATCCGTCTGACCACCAGGTAGGTAAGGGTGGGGGCAGGGCAGCCGACCGGGATGGGGAGGGGGCGTCCTGGGCTCTCCTGCATGTCCATCCGAGGGAGTCCCCATGGGCAGTCCCACAGATGCCCTCTACTAAGATACCGTGCCCACCGGGGCCCAGTTCCCATCTATACCCAGTGGCCAGCCAGGTCCCACTCGCGGGGTTCCTGAAACCCCAACACCCCCATCCTCCTTCTCCTCCCCAGGTCATCTGGGAGAAGTTCGCCTCAGACCCGCAAAAAGCTGACAACGAAGAGATCGTGACCGTGGAAGAAGTCACAGCAGTCACAGCGGCCCCGGCCAGCGTATGAACACAGAGGCTTCCTCCCCAGAACATTCTAGAACCTGCGGGGTGGTTGTTCTTTTTTTTTTTTTAATTGCTTTGAGCATTTATTTATATAGTGTTCTATTTTTTTACTTTTGAACAATGTGATATTTTGTAAAGATACTTGTCGTGGGAAGGATCGTGGGATGCCCGTGGATCCTGACCCCAGGATGCACCCGCTTCTTGCCGTCTCCGCCACCCCCTCCCCAAAGAACAACGAACCCCTTCCTTACGTTACGGTGGCTCAAGCGGGGCCGGGCGGGGTATTGTCATCTTTGCGGACATTGTTCTGTGCACCCCGTGGGGACCGGGATGTAGACGTCTTTGGGGACATTATCCCGACCATGAGACGTGGACCAGGATGTGGACAACTCCATCCGCAGGCACCAGCAGTGACGGGACGGGATTTCACACGCAGATCCTGAAACCCTCTGTGCACCTTGACCTTCGAGACAAACGACTACAGAAACCCCGCAGGCCACGCGCCCACCCCCATGACGTTAACCAACGGGGAAGCATTGAAGGCGGGTCCTCTCCAGCCAGGAAGCAACCCCACGCGGGCAGTGAAGTCAGCCATGAGGAGCCAAGGGCGCGTGTCCCGCCAAGACCTACGGAAAGTCTTGGAAACCAGCGACAGCCTGTCCTACGGGAAGCGCAGCGCATCTAGGCCTCGGATTGCTGGATGAGGACACAGCTCCCGGGGACAATAAAATGTATCTGGAAATTGAGATACGTATAGATACAGACACCCCACCTGTATGTAGTTAGAGAAATAGAAATAGAGGGAGAAAAGAGAGAGCGGGAAAACAGAGGAAATATATACAAAAAGATACATATGAAGACGATTTGCAGAGAGAGCTGAGGGAATTGGCTCATGAGGTGCTGGGACTGGTCAGCAGGAAGCCTGCAGGGCAGGTGGGCCAGCTGGACACGCAGGTGACAGGTGACAGTGCACACCTGACCCCGAACTGTTTCCTTGGGAAACCTCCGTTTGCACCTGAGATCATCACCTGATTGGATGCGACACACGCCCAAAGTGACGTATCTTTTAACGTTGGCTGCTTGTTGATTTTTTTTGAAAAAAAATTTTTTTTTTTGCTTGTGGGGTTTTTTTGTGTGCCACCTAGAAAACACCATTAGGGGAGTGTTTGATGGAATAACAGGGGGGCCTGTCACACGTCCGTGTGGACACACGAGCTGACAATCATGGAACCACTTATAGTGGGAATGCGTGTCGACCAGCCCTGCCTGGGTCCCCTGTCCATGTCCCAGGTGACACCCTGCACCCTGCACCCACTTGTCCCCTCCCACGGGCTCCTCTGTGCCCAGGTGGGTCCACCTGGTGGGAGGAGTGCCTCGCACGCACCCTACAATCTTTACTTGGCAATTTGCTCCCAACAGAGTTCCAGGGAACAAGATTGTACACTCAGGTTCTGAAGTGATGCCACAGCTGCTGATCCCGACTTCAGAGGTGTCGGGGGCTCACGTCAACCGGCTCAGCAGGAGACAAAAAGTGAAACAAAATAAAAACAAGCCAAAAAAAGCCTTGATTTATAGCATTTTGTGTTAACTGTGCTGCAGATCCTCCAGCACAGCCCTCTTAGAGCTACCGGTGGCTGGTCTGCAGCTCTGAACGTTCTTGGTTGTTCAGCGTGGACCCCCCAAAGGCTTACTAGGGGGATCCAGCTCGGCCCCACCACGCGGGCTCCGATAGACACTTCCTGTGAGCATGGACAGCACAAAAGCTGTGCCCCTTGCACTTTAAACTTTTATCCCCAAGAGGCCCAGATGGGACCAAAACATTCTAAGCACAGAAAACAAAAAAAAACGGGGTCCCCTGGGAGGCTCAGTGATTGAGCTTCTGCCTTTGGCTCAGGTTGTGATCTCGGGGTCATGGGATCAAGTCTCGCATTGGGCTCCCTTCAGGGAGCCTGCTTCTCCCTCTGCCTGTGTTCTCTGCCTCTTTCTCTGTGTCTGTCATGAATAAATAAATAAAATGAAAGAAGAAAGAAAGAAAGAAAGAAAGAAAGAAAGAAAGAAAGAAAGAAAAGAAAGAAAGAAGAGAAGAGAAGAAAGAAAGGAAGGAAGGAAGGAAGGAAGGAAGGAAGGAGAAGAAAGAAAGAAAGAAAGACAAAGAAAGAAAGAAAGAAAGAGGGAGGGAGAGAGAAAGAAAGAGGGAAAGAAAGAAAGAAAGAGAAAGAAAGAAGGAAAGAAAGAAAGAAGGAAAGAAAGACCGACCACACAATGAGGCCCGTGGAACAACTTCCCGGGGGCCGACAGCACGTCCCGAGACATGGCTCACCCGTGGAATAGAGGCGTCTGCCTTCAGGCTCCTGTTCCCCTTTCCTCGTCCCTTCGGCCTCCATGACGCCTTCCCTGCTAACCCTCAACTTCTGCAAAAGAGCGACTTCCTGCATTTCTGAGCGATGATCTCACTTACATCAACACATTAGTAGGAATTTGTCACCTCCCTCCCAGGCCGGTTGCGTTTCACTGTCGTTGGGTGTAAGGGTTGATGATTTCGTGGGGTTTAAAGGGATCTAAACTCAGAGGGACGAGGTGGTGAAGACACTTCTTTTGTTCAGTGCACATTATCAGTGGCCAGGTGTGACCCCATAGGAAAGACTCCCCCCCAGCCCCCACCATGAGGTCATCAAGTACGAGATGAGTGAGGTGTGGTGAGAGGATGATGCCCCCAGGAGAAGCAGTTCTGGGTACAAAGGGACCCCAAGACCCCACTGCATTTAGAGTCCTGGAAATGGCTCTCTGTCTGGATGTGATGGGGTCTCACCCCAGGTCTTGGACTCACCCCAAAGGGTGCCCAAGAGGACTGGGGTCAGCAGACCAGCTGGGTAATAATTGTGTCCACCAGGTGAGCCAAGGACAACCATCTTCAGGCCCCACATCTTGTAGGGTCAGAGTCGGCTGTGAGGACCAGCCGTGGCCTGGGCGTCACGTGGAGCAGACCGGAGGTGACGATCAGGACCCTCGCTTCTGATGAGAAGATCACTTCCTCATGTGTGTGCTCCTGATCCGACCGGTCTGAGGTCACCCTCAGCCTCCGTGCGCTCCCATCGTCAGGCGAAGCCACCCCCGCGAGGGGAACTGAGCCTGGGTAGCCGGCATGTCCTTGCAGATGCACGAAAAAAAGTCCCGCATGCGAGACCAAGCTCTCTGCCTGGGGTGGGAAGCGTTCTCCCGCAGGAAACCTGAGAACTAGGCATGCACGGGGTTCACGGGAGGCTGGGGGGGCCAGTCGGGGTGCTTCCCCTTGCACAGGCAGGGGGAGATGGGCCACCAGAGCAGGGGAAGTGCTGGCCACGTGTTGGAAAAACGGAGACGCTGTGGAAGATAATCTGAGTGTAGATAGGCAGCCGGGGCAGCCGGGGAGCGGGGTGGGGGCAGCGATGTTTGGAGAAGTTTCCAGGGTGTGCAGGACAACGCAGCACCAAGCAGGAGGTGGGAGGACAGAAAACATTCCACATGCATCCTGTCCCAGCTCTGGGACATGACATGTGAGGTTCAGGAGGGGACACGCTCCCTCCAGAGGCTCCGGGGACGGTCCTTCCTGCCTCCTCCAGCGTCTGGGGCCCCAGGCGTCCCGGGCTGGTGACCCTGTCCCTCCCGTCTCCGCCTCCATCCTCACCTCCTCTGCGTGCATTTGTGTCTCCTCTTCTGTCTCTCACGAGGACCCCTGCCATTGGACGTAGGGCCACTTCAACCAGGATGAGCTCATCTCATGTCCCTCACGTCATCCCATCTGTTAGGTCCCCTCCCCAGGTACCAAGAGCTACAACATGAGCATATATTTCATGGGGGACAAACTCCTACACACTCTACAGCCTCCCAATGCAGACGCCCTTCCCCTCTGCGTGAGCCCTCGAGGCCCCAATCCATCTCCAGATGCACCTGCCCCCCCTTGCCTTCATGCACGACCTCCACGTGAAAGATGCCATGGTTTCCACTGTTTTTACGCTGTATCCAGAGTCTTCATACATGACGAGCTGCGGAGATGAGGGAGGTCTCCTCTCCCACCTGATTCATAGTTTGCAAACTTCAGAAAAAATTTTTTTAAAAAAATCAAAAACTGGGACGCACTGCTTTAAAGGCCAATGAGTGAGAACGGGAAAACGTTTCTGCATGATGCTGTGGGCAAGGGTGCGTGACCTCGTGGGTTTGTTCTCGGTGCTTCATAGGCTGGAATGCGGGGTTCAGTTTACGACATTGTAGCAACGTCAGCTCTTTACCTGCAACAAATGTAACCAATTTAACCAATGAAACAAATGTAACCAATGTGACAAATTGTTTTTTTTTTTTTGCAACTTAAAAAATGGATTTATTTCACAACTACTGGTTCTCTTGTGCACGAACATATGTCAGAATTACCTGCGAAGGTTCTAAAAAATATTTAAGTCTTGACCTCACGCCCGGAGAAGGCTGCAAGGAGTAGGGGCTTGGGACTCCGGCATTTTCAAAAAGCTCTTTGGGGAGTTCGGAGGTTTCCTTCTGCTTGAGTCTCTTGATTTTTAGGTTGACTGGGGTACTTTGCGCTTTTTGGGCCACTGTTTGGGGGTGTGGGGAGCTTTTTTTGCAGATTTATTAGCAGTAGTAAAGAACCTGGCTCCTGGCTTTTTGGTCTTCTGTCTTGGGTCTTTTTTCCCCAGTGAAGAGTTTCTTTCTTTCTCTGCGTCTTCTTTGATTCTTGGCTTCTTCTCCGGGCCGTTACCTGGAGTCTTCGCCTCTGCAGCCTTCGGGGTCTCCAAACCTGGACAGGCCTTTCTCTTTTTTCCACGGGGTCTGTTGGGACCAGGACTCTTTTTTTTGAGACTTCTTTCCTTCAGCGTGGTTTTGCACCTCTATGTTTTCTTTTGCTGGAGTCCCTATTGGTACGAGGAGTGGGATCTTGTCTTCGGACTCGTAACAAATGTAACCAATGAAACAAATGTAACGAATGTGGCAAATGTAACAAATGTAAACAATGTGACAAATGTAACCAATGTGACAAATGTAACAAATGAAACAAATGTAACGAATGTGGCAAATGTAACAAATGTAAACAATGTGACAAATGTAACGAATGTGGCAAATGTAACAGATGTAAACAATGTGACAAATGTGACAAATGAAACAAATGTAACCAATGTAACCACCGTACCACCCAGTGAGATGTTGGTTGTAGAGATCTGGGAAGGAAGCCTGGGGAGGTCATGGGAACCCTCTATTTTCTGCTCTGTGCTTCTGTAAACCTGAAACTGCTAAAAAAAAAGGGGGGGAGTCTAATAATAAGTAATAATAATAATAATAGGGATCCCTGGGTGGCGCAGCGGTTTGGCGCCTGCCTTTGGCCCGGGGCGCAATCCTGGAGACCCAGGGTCGAATCCCACGTCGGGCTCCCGGTGCATGGAGCCTGCTTCTCCCTCTGCCTGTGTCTCTGCCTCTCTCTCTTTCTCTCTGTGACTATCATGAATGAATAAATAAATAAAATCTTAAAAAAAATAAATAAAAATATTTTTTAAAAAATAATAATAACAATAAAATTCCCAATAATAATAATACCAATAAAACAAGGGAGAAGGTAGGTGAAAAACCAGAAAATAAAGTGTGGTCTTATGGTCTTTGGAAATGAAAGTTTGTGTGAAGATTCTCTCTTTTAGGTTCTGACACAGAGGATGTAGGAGAGACACACATCAGCTCAGAAACTGTCATTGGAGGGTGGATCTCAGGACACATTGAGTCACTTCCAACGTGCACAGACACGTTCCTGGTTCTTGTATCTCTATGTCTCTGTGATGAGTCCGCAGCAGACAGTGGAAGATTCTAGATACCCACAGACCACTTGCTGCTGCTTTGAGGGGGGCAGAGCCAGCTGACTGGTTGGATCTGAGGGTCTTGGGGAGCCCCTCCCTCACCCTGACCTCCTGATACCAAGAACCCCCCACAGTTGGTGACACCGGCTGCCTTCGGGGGCCGCACTGGGGACCCTGGTCCCTCCGAGGTGGCTGGACAGACGCAGAGGGGAAACCGGATGTGGAGTCTGTGACTCACCATCCCCGTGACTCAACCAGCCTGGCCCCCCCACCTCGTGTTCTTCTTCTGGGGTGGGACTCGAAGTCTTGCAAGGGAGACCTGTCACCACCACGATGGCCTAGGCTGTCCCCACCCCTGAGTTTCATAAATCAGGTCTAAGACCTACAACAGGTGGTCCCCACCTTAGGAACTCTGCTTCTCCATCTCTAATGAAGGGACTGATTTGGGGGCACCTGCCTGGCTCCATCAGTAGGGCACATGATGCTCAATGTCACACTTGTGAGTTCAAGCCCCACAGTAGAGGTCGAGATTACTTTTTAAAAATAATTAATTAATTAATTAATTGATTGATTAATAAACTGAGACACCTGGGTGGCTCAGCAGGTGAGCATCTGCCTTCAGCTCAGGTTGTGACCCCAGGGTCCCGGAATCGAGTCCCACATCAGTATCCCCTCAGGGAGCCTGCTTCTCCCTCTGCCTGTGTCTGTGCCTCTTTCTCTCCGTATCCCTCATGAATGAATAAATAAATAAAATCTTTAAAAAAATTTTTTTTAAATAAGCCGGAGAAAAGCAAATGGGATGGAGATCATCAAATTAAAAACAAAATACACCAGCAGAACTGTCGCATGTGTGTTCATGAAAAATAATCTGGGCGTAGCTGGATGCACACATTTTGAACCCAGGGGGTGCAAAACGTCACCCAGACTTTGAGGGACCAATGATTACTAGAATGGTTAGGGTCATTCTGAATCCTTAGAAAATTTAAAAAATGTTCTAGTTTGCCCATTCTTTGTAGAAAGTGGAGTGAAATGCACTGAAAGCTGGAAGACAAGCCACCATGTTTCCCCCTCCTCACCCAGCCGTGGCACCGGAGACCCCTGTGTATTTTCCTTTGTATCTTTTTCTTTTTAAAAAAAATATCAGAATGTCTCAAGGGCTGCGTGGCCCTAACCACCAGAGCCCATCACAAGGGTCCTTTCAGGATGAAAACACGCAGATACTGAAAATCCATCAGCAAACCTCCCCACGGAAGGTGTCTCGTGAGCTCTACTCCAGTCGGGAGCATCAGACGGGTTGTTCAAGGGCGTCCGACCTCCTGGCCTCCACTCTGATTGACCAGACGGTTGCAAACTGGGATCACGTATCAATCACCCAGCGGGCGCCTGGCTCCTCCCGTCCCCGCAGGCCCCACCCAGGTGAATTTGCAGGGTTGGGGGTGGGGAAACTTTGACCACGTGACCCGCTGCCCGGACTCTGCCATGAAGCTCAGAAGGACCCGCAAGCCTGCGCTGTGTGCCGTGCTCTGCACTCCTGACGGCTCCCTCTGTTCTAGAACCTCACGGGCCTACCCACCCCGAGCTCACCACTGCCTCAAGGCTTTTGCACCTGTGCCTCCTCTGCCCCCCGAAATCTTCCACGGGCTCCCTTGATTCATCCACGTGTGCCCTGGACCATGTCCCACTGGAATAGACCTTGTCGGAGCATCCTCACACCCCTGCTCCTGCGGGCGCCCCGCTCCTGCCTCGTTCCTGTTCACTCAGCACCCCCAGCGCACCTGACAATTTTCCTCCAGGTTCCCACCGTGGGCCCTAGAGCGTCAGCTCCCTGACAGCAAGCACTTTCTCATTCCTTTGTCCCTCCCCATCACCCGTGACTCGGACGACACCACATACGGCACAGGCGGCGATCTGCAATCAATATCGGTGTGATTTATAAAACAGAGGACCCGCTGTAAATGAGCAGAGCCCCAACCTTCCGCCTGCCCGTTCACCTTCGTCGCTGTCGGCGTGAGAGACACAGGCAGAGGGAGCACCCTGCATGGAGCTCGCTGCAGAAGGCGCCACATTGAATCACAGTCATGAAGCGCATCGTCTTCCAAATGGGACCAGAGACAGAGCCTTCCTACCAGCACGGTCGGTTTTCTAGAAACCTACTTTTGCATTTTTTTTTCTACTTTTGCATCTGGGTGTGCAAGAGCCACCTGCGCCTGAGGTAAACAGCAGGAGTCTGACTCGTGGGGAAGACGCAGCCCATCCGATGGTGACCCATTCCCTACGGCGGGCATCGTTTGGAGCTGGGAGATGCAACAAAGCCAAGCAGTTCCAGAGCCTCTGCATCCCAAGAGCTGTATTTCCAACCAGGCATTCCCTTCACGTGGCGTCTGGGAACTCTCTCGTCTACACCACAGGATGACATGGTGTTTGATAAAAGCAAAGAAGGGGATGAGCCTATCTCATGAGATAACCTCCAAAGGGCACCATAGTTGTAGGAGGAGAAACACAAGGAACGGTCATCCCCATTTGCGTCATGGTGATCCTATGAGGAAGAAACCACTATTTCCCAAGCTCTCCCGTCGGATCCCTCCAACCAGGCACCGGCGAGTAGGGTGGTCACAGAAGAAGGACTCACGCTCCCATAGTGATAAGGACTACTCCCATCCAAGGGGAGATATTCCAGGCATGGAGGCATGGAAGCACTGGCGTCCCCTCCCGGAGGGGCCTCGAGGACATAAACCAGCACCAGAATCACGCACAATGTCTGGGAGAGCTCAGCCCACGGATAAGGCCGCCCTCCCACTGAATGGACGGGAGCGGACGTGCCCGTGGACACGGGGGTTGGAAGACTCCAGAACGTGACACAGAGCATGGAAACCCTGGTTCCCATGATGATCCCAGAGGGAACAGGTGGGATGACGGCTGGAGACACCCCACTGCAAAAAAGAGGAACCCCGAGATGCTGATAAAAAAGCAAAGGGCCAGCTTGGCGCTTGAGAAAGATGGTGCTGGGGGTTGGAGCACTTCCTGCGCGCCGGGGAGATAACCCCGGCCCAGCCACTCATTGAGAAGGAGGACACGGCTGATGGCAGATAAGGCGCTTCTCCAAACGCTGACGTGGGGATGAATTGTGCGTGGGAGTCCATAGAGAGCAGGCTCTTGACCAGGCTTCTTGAGCTCATCCCCGCGGGGACCACGGTTCCGTCCCGCCGACCCGAGCACCCCTTCTGGTGCCGCGGGTCCACAGCACCTTCCGAAAGCGCCGGAGCGGTCCGAGGACGTTCCAGAAACCTCGCTGACCAGTAAGCTGGCATTTTGCGCATCCGTAGGGCTGTGGGGTTTGTGAGATCCTACAGCAGGACGGGCGCTGGATGGGAGGGGAAACCAGCGCCGGGGGTGGGTATGGGGGGGTATATCACTCATGGGGCAGGCGGAGGGCGTGTGGTGGGGATGAGCATCCCCACAGTGCCCAGATGAGAACCAGCGGTGTGAGCATCACTTTACGAAACTCACAAGAGGTCTGTCTGGTGGGTGTCTGCGAGCGAATGCTCGGGGTGTCTCCCCACTGTCTACAGGGCGTACGTCCTTCTGGGGAAGCACCCAATATTCCTTTGGGATTTTTTAAAAGATTTTATTTATTCATTCATGAGACACACAGAGAGAGAGAGAGGCAGAGACACAGGCAGGGGGAGAAGCAGGCTCCATGCAGGGAGTCCGACGTGGGCCCGGGGTCACACCCTGGGCCAAAGGCGGTGCTAAACCGCTGAGCCACCCAGGCTGCCCACTTTGGCAGCATTTTAAGCATTTTTAAGCATTCAAATGACCAAGGGTTGGTCTTCGATACCGACGGGTCTGACAGGTGCACGGTTCAGGTGGGCCCGTGGGTCTACACGGGGTGCACAACCCGCCTTCCCCTTGCACCTGCAGGCGGGACAGGGTGGTGGAGAAAGAGGGGGTCCCCAGAAATGCTGTGGCCTGAGAAGCACAGGGTGGAAGCCAAGTAGCTCCACCCCAAGCTGGACGAGGCCGTGAGGCTCAGCCCCCGGCGATGGGCAAGCGCTCAGAGTGTCCCTGCTGCCCCGATCGACAGCTCAGATCTCCCTGCCTGGGAGCTGGAACCCCAAACCGAAGGGCATAGATAAGCCTGGTATGAAACGGGGTGGGGGGAGTCATGCCCCGAGGCAAGCACCCTTGTTCCCAACGCAGAAGGCTCGCAGAGGGTGCCGCCTGCAGCCAGCGGCCAGAGGTCGGACCTAGGGCCCTGAAGCCTGGGGACACATCCTTGCAGAACGCGGGAGAGAAATGAGTCCAATGCTGCATTTAGGACTAAATAAAAGGAATCCCTTCTAATTACATTTTAATATGTTCCATGTGATGAGGACACTGGGGTCGGAAGCCTGTTGGTTACTAAGACACGCGGAAGGAACGACAGGGCACGTGGTTGGGTCAACGCCATGAGAAGGGCGATGACGACGTGCAAAGCTGCTGTACTTAATGCAAAATTTAAAAAGTCATTAAAAGGCAAACGCCCCCATCCGGGTGCCCAGCTCCTCTGGCTGCATCTGTAGGCTGACCTGTCCCCAGGGCAGGTCCCCACGGAGGCCAAGGCTGGTTCCCCCCAAGGCCTCTGTCCCAGGCGTGTAGACGCCGTGTTCTCCCCGTGTCCTCACATGTTCATCGCTCTCTGCACGTCGTCCCCTGATCCTATGATCGGGGCGCACCCTACAGACCTCACCTAAATCCCCTCTTTAAAAACCGAATTCCCCAATGCAGCCCCATCCTGAAGTCCAGGGAGTAAGGGTTTCAACAGGTGCATTTCAGTGGGTCACCACGGAGCCCCCGAGGACACCCGTTCTTGGAGAAGGGACACATCCGCCTCTCGGCCACAACGGCAGCTCCCGGGGGGTGATAATGCCCCTTTGGGACACGATGGCGGGGCCTGGTTGCCCGTGTCTGTCTCCTCGGAGCTTCTCGAGCAGCCACCCCTGAGGTTCTCCGTGGCCGTTCTGTGCTCAACATTGACACGGAGACTAACCCCGTGCAGACCTTGTGCCCTAAAGGGCTCACTTCCCTGGGCCGCGGCACGCTGGTTCTTCCTGCCCTGGGCGTGAGACTCTGGGACAGACGTCAGACGTCCCCACCGCAGCCCTCATGTGTCGCTGTGCTTCCTTCCTCGTGGGGAAGTGTCTCGGTGGCGACTGCAGAGCAAGTGAGGGCCATCGCGGGCATGGCAAGGGATGGAGGCAGGCGTCTGAGAGCCACCGCCGTCAGGCAGACCATCCCCGGCGCCAGGGCCTGACCCATAGCAGGTGCACTGAGAACAAGGAGTGGCCTCCACTGGGGGCCAGGGCACAGCACCCCCTCTGCACGCTGAGCTCATATACACTCCGTGCCTTGAAGGGCATCACCACAGGCCCCCCCCAAACGTACCTCTTGGCCATACAAATGATTTCAGACCACAGGCCACTGAGAACCAGCAGGAGCACAAATAGTTCTGGACGCCTCCCTCGCTGCCAGAAAATACAGGACATTCATTTCCCCTTCCTGGTGGAAATGTACGTCCATACACAGACCTTCTTTTATTTTATTTTATTTTATTTTATTTTATTTTATTTTATTTTAATTTTATTTTATTTTATTTTATTTTAATTTAATTTTATTTTATTTTATTTTAATTTTATTTTATTATTTTATTTTATTTTATTTTATATTTTGTTTTAAGACTGTATCTATGAGTTCACGAGACACACAGAGAAGGACAAAGTTGCTCCCCACACTGAGAAGACAATGACGCTCAGAGACTTCTTATCGTCTCAGAGATGCTTATGAACAAGACCGCCCCGGACGTGCCACGCGTTTCCTGCTGCACCTTTCCATATAACTGTCCTTCTCCATTCAGGAGCCAGAAACCCATTTTCTGACGTTGAATCATAAATGGTTTAAAATTAAAAAAAAAAAAAAGGTTTATTAAAATCGCTGACCATCTGACTGCCTCCCCGAGCTGCATTTTCCTTGCTGGACTCCCATGCGTATATATATATATATGGCATAAATGCTGGGTTTTCTGTTAAATCTTTTTATTCACGTAATTTGTGGGCATCAAGTGCAAATCTAAGAGGTTAGAGGGAAACGATTTTTCCTGCCCTTCAACCTCTCCTCCCTGATTTTCTCTTTTCCCGGCCTCGTCCCTTGGTCTGTCTTATGTAGGAAGATCTCTCGCTTGGTAATGAGACACAGAGCAGGAAGGAGTTTACCTGCTTCCCCCAGGTAGGGAAATAAATGGCTTCCATCATCCCAGGAGGTGGGCGCACGTCCCTGGAAAGGGGCCGGAAACACTGTAATGACGTGCACCCCGACTCGCTGGTGGCCTCTGGGCTCCTATTGGCTCTTTCTGCAAACGTATTCCATCCTGAGAGCACCTGGGTGGCTCAGTTGGTTAAGAGTTGGACTCGCAGTTTCAGCTCAGGTCATGATCTCAAGGTCATGAGATGGAGCCCTGCATTGCTCTGTGCTCAGCGTGGGGTCTGCTTGAGATTCTTTTTCCCTCCGCCCCTAACTCCTGGCTCTCTTGATCTCTGTTTCTTTCTCAATAATAATAGTAATAATAATAAAAATAATGATTAATAAAGGTGTTCTGTCTTCAGCCAGACAGAGCTGCCTCATACCCCAAAGTGGGTGCCGTGGAGCAGTATCCTCATCACACATTCCTTCTTTTTCATGGAGGCCTCGCCTCCCCTGCCCCCGAACCACCTACTGCAAGAGGCACAACCTCAGATAACCCCAATATGCATGGCGGGGTTCAGAGTGGGTCCCCACACAATGGCCCAGGGGTGGGGATGTGATCTAGACCCGCAGTGGCCATGGTGATGCTGGGCTGCAGGGAAAGGTCCAGTCTGGCGGGAAAAGTGGGTTCGATCCCACGTTGGTAGTCATCGTGTATAATGGACCTTGAGTGTCCTGATGCCTTGAAGGGGGTTCCAGGAGGGTTTCAGAGGGACTGTCACTTTGTAGGGGGGACCAGACGTGTGGAAATAGGATGGTGGACACACCCAGTGGTCTGACCACATAGGGCACAGGATGCCCCCCCCAAGAACTTGTTCCTGACACCTGATGGCCCCAGGGGCATGGAGGGGTTCTGAGAATGGAGGGTTCCTGCCCCACCTGGAATCTGACCCTCTGACCCGAGGTCTCCTCCTCTTCAGGTGCAGCATTGGGGCTGGGCCATGGCGACTACGCTGGATCTGGTGAGCTTTCTGGTGCTCCTGAGCTCAGTGTGCTGCAGAGAACCACAGCCGGGTAGGTGCTGGCAGGTGGTGGGGGCATCTGGGCAGGGTCTCCCTAATGCTGGAAGGGGACAAAAGGCCCTCCCCCAGACCTGATGCATCTATGCATCTCCCTATCCTCTACCCCTGCCCTGGTAAGAGAAGGGGTCCTTGTGGAAACCAAACTTTCAGCGGATGTTCATCATCTGGCACAATCAGGAAGAAAATCCTATCCCCAAACCCCAAGCCCAGCTGGGGTGTCGGCTTTTCTGCCTGTCCTGGGAAAACCTTATTGAAAAGCAAAAATCTCGGACCTGCCGAGATGGCACCGTTGGTTACGCATCCGACTCTTGATTTTGGCTCAGGTCACGATCTCAGGGTAATGACATGGAGCCCGGCATTGGGCTCTGACTCAGCATGGAGTCTCCTTTTCCCTTTCCCCATCGTCCCCCACCCCTGCTCTCTCTCTCTTCCTCTCTCTCAAATAAATACAGGAAATCTTTTTAAAAAATATTTTAGAAACAGGAAAATATCCTCCCAACCCACAGAACCTCTCCCCAAAGACGCTAGAGAATGTAGAAATCTTACCGCAGGGTGACCCACCAAAGAGAGTGCACACACAGGGAGAGAAAGCTCACCGTGTTGGGAGCCAGCTGCCCGGGAAGTTGGGCTCCTCTCCTCCCCGGAAACGGGCGTTCACTTCTCTGATCATCATATTTCACAGACGCTCCAGACCCTCAGCTAGCTATTCCGCATTGTTGATGCTCGTGTAGCCCCTCTATGAAGAGCCACGCGTCTCTTTGTACTTTTGTAGCCTTTGCTTTCGGTGTCAAATCAAAAAAATTAAAAAAAAATTCATGCCGAGACCAATGTCCAGGAACCCAGCAACCTGGGCTTTTTGTTTTTATGGGTTTTTTTCCTTGCCTAGGAGTTTTGTAGATTCGGGTTGTACCTGTGAGTCTTTAATCCAGTTGGAGTTAATTTTTTTGTGGATCTGGTTAGTGGTCTGGTTCCACTTTTTTGTAAGTGGCTGCCGCTGTTCCCACACCGTTTTTTAGAGAGACTGTTTGTCCCCTGTTGTCTATTCTTGGCTTTGTTGTTGTAAATTAATTGGTCCTTCTGGGTTTTTTTCCCCCCTAATAGGGAAAATTAAAGTCCTCGTGGTCATTTTGTACTTGTCCTCACCTATGGCAGTTTTCTTCTTGTTCAAGGTGCTGCATCAGCCCCACCCCAAAGGGCATAGCCCATCCCCTGCCCTATCCTGAAGGCCTGGGAGGGAAGCCCCACTTTGCATTCCCTCTGGGAAGATACAGAGGGTCCCAATTTCTGCACAGCCTGCCCTGTGATTTTAATTTTTTTCTAGACATTTTTTCCATGTTAAAATTTTTTCCTGTATTTAAATTTTTTTTTCTGTATTTTAAGATTTTTTAAATATTTTTATTTCTCTGTATTTTAAGGATCAGTTTCTGTAATTTTAAAATTATCATTAGTATAGCTAACTTCTCTGTATTTTTCAAATTAGTTTCTTTCTTTTCTGTATTTTTCAAGTTATTATTCCTATATCTGACTTGTCTGTATTTTTTACATTATTTTCTATATTTTTCAAATTATTATTACTCTAGTTAACTTTTCTGTATTTTTCTGTTTTCCAAATGATTATTACTCAACTTTTGTGTATTTTTCAAATTATTTTGTGTATTTTTCAAATTATTACTGTTATACCTAACTTGTCTGTATTTTTCTAATTATTTTCTGTACTTTCCTTTCCCTTTTTAAAGATTTTTATTTATTTATTTTGAGAGAGAGAACAAGAGAGAAAGCACAAGCAAGGGGAGGGACAAGAGGGAGAGGGAGAACGAGACTCCCCTATGAGCAGGAAGCCTGACACAGGGCTGGATTCCAGGACCCTGACATCATGACTTGAGCTGAAGGTAGACATTCAACTGACTGACCCACCCTGGTGCCCCTTTTTCTGTATTTTTTAAACTATTATTATTATACTTAACTTTTCTGTATTTTTCAAATTATTTTTTGCATTTTTAAAATTATTGTTAATAAAGCTAACTTTTCTGTACTTTTCAAATTATTTTTTCTATTTTTCTAATTATTATTGCTATACCTAAGTTGTCTGTTTTTCAAATTATTTTTTGTATTTTTCAAATAACTATTACTATACTTAATTTTGTGTATTTTTCAAATTATTGTTACTATAGCTAAGTTTTCTGTACTTTAGCTAAGCAATGATTCTTGCTATACTTTCGTGTATTTTTATTTTTTATCTTTTTTACTTTTGTGTACTTTTAAAATTATTTTCTATATTTTTCACATTATTACAATAGCTAACTTGTATTTTTCAGATTATTTTCTGTATTTTTCACATGATTACAATAGCTGACTTGTATTTTTCAGATTATTTTCTGTATTTTTCAAATTATTATTACTAAAGCTAAGTTTAGCGGTATGAAGTGACATCTCGTTGTGTTTTTGATGTTCATTTCCCTGATAACTGATGGTTCTGAGCATCTTTTTTTCCTTTTTTTCTTTTTTTCTGGGCATCTTTTCATGGGCTTGTATATGTCACTTTAAATCGTTCATTTTACGCTATGTGAATCTGGCCTCAGTAAACCGATATGACAATCCCCACCTGGGGTTTGCAGAACGTCTCCCCTCTCACCTGTAACTATAACATCACTTGCAGGGGGGGAGGGGAGCAGGTTCTAGTTCCTACTAAGTGTTTATTAATATTTTTTTAATTGCAGCACAAGAAAACGTATCTCCTATTATAAACATGCAGCTAGATTCAAGGAAGAAAATGTTAAGCTGGAATTACATAAGAAATGTGAGTGAGCAAGAATGTGCAATATATACCCCGCTCGGCTCTCCCACCTTGCAACCCCCACAGGTGAGTGTTCATGGCTCGTGCCTTATGGCTTGGCTCCTTGCAAACCTTAAATTTTCCTGTGAGATGACTCTTAGGTCTCCTGCCTCCTCTTGAGTTCCACTCCTATTGCTGTTGTTGAGGAAGAAAAAAACATTTCCTCTACCCTCTCAGGTTCAGGGGTAGGGATGTGCAAATTAAACTGACGAGCATCACATTTTTCAGAAGAAAAGATCTACAGATTTGTTCCCGGTTCAACTTTTTTTTACCTAAATGAAGATTCACAGGCGAGAAGTAAACCCCCAAAGAAGTGGCTGGACTAGGGAGTTTTTGTGCCATTTTTTCTAAAAGGTTGGAAAATTGAGATGTCTCGACAAAGAAATGCGGATTTCAGCTTCTGAGGCCGATAAATTGCGGGGACGTGACCATGGAATCAGCATATGGGTTATTCCCATGTCCATTCTCAGGTGCCAGATGCTCAAAATAATCCGTATTCCAAAATAGCCTATTTGGGATTAAGCCCAACTATAGGAGCCCTTCACCCTGCTTTGTACAGTGAGAGTAAAATCTACACACTGAGTCTCACGTATGAGGAGGAATCTATAATAGCTGTCTTTTCTGCACCTGCTTTCATTTTGATCTCTCCCCTTCCATGAGGGACTACAGGGAAAGATGTGGATTTGCCCCTTAAATGGATGTCACCATGGAAACATCACCCCCCCCCCCCGATTCAGTCCGTGTCTTTCACTCACTCGTCACCTAATACACACACACCCTTGGTTGCATTCTAAGGACCTTAGAGAGGAAAAACCTTATCATCTAACCTCTTAAGCTGTGTCTGGAGGCCCGTGAATGAACAAGAGATAGATGAACAGGAGGTAGAAAAGTATATTCCCATGCACATGGAACTTCTTTTTTTTTTTTCTCATATGGAGCTTTTATTTTTTTTATTATTATTTTTTTCATATGGGGCTTTTAAAACATAGCCCAATAAATAGGTAAAGTTAACGATTTATGTACCTAGTAGGAAAAAGGAAGGAGAGACTAAAGCTCTTTATGGGAAGAACAAGCATTTTTCCAGAAGAAAATGGGAGATAAGAAACTTTGTGATGAAGCTAATTCCTGCAACTGTAAGACGTCTTTCAGTCTTTGTCACGGCCCAGAGAGGGCATTTATGATAACATTACCCTCGTTTTCCTTCCTAAAATCCACCTGAAAGAGAAAATTTATAGCAGCCTTATTTTCTAGGACTTTCTGACTTCAGTTCGATAAGAGAAACGCCCCCCAAAACGTTTCTTTGTGCATCTCTTAAATCCAAACGTCTTCACTTAAAATAATGTTCATACCAGGCAGCCCGGGTGGCTCAGCAGTTTTAGTGTGACCCTGGGGTCCCGGGATCGAGTCCCACGTCGGGCTCCCTGCATGGAGCCTGCTTCTCCCTCTGCCTGTGTCTCTGCCTCTCTCTCTCCGTGTGTCTCTCGTGAATAAAATCTTTAAAAATAATAATAAAATCTTTAAAATAAAATCTTTAAAAATCTTTTAAAATAATAATAATAATGTTCATACCAATTCTGCGATGGCTGGGGATGGGGGAGGCTCCTCCCCACATTTATAGCTAGTTTTAGCAAGATTTTTTTTTGAAGATTTATTTATTTTGGGGCGGAGAGAGACAGAGGGAGAAGGAGAGAGAGAAGCCCAAGCAGACTCTGTGCTGAGCATGGAGCCCGACTTTGGGCTGGATCTCACGACCCTGAGATAGGATCTGAGCTGAAACCAAGAGTCTGAGGATTAACCCAGTGCACCCCCTCGCGCCCGGTACAGGGACTTCTTATGTGGGTTGCTCTGCCGCCACCCCAGGCTGATGAAGGTCTTGCCTTGTCCCCAGAGATTAACTCCTGGGGTGGGGGTGGAGGCGATATTCTTTGCAAAGAAATGTCCAGCTTTTAGGCAAGTGACCTGCATCGGGGTTTCCTTGTATCTGCTTGTTGCAATCGTCTTAAAAATCATCCTTGTGCCAAAGTGGGCTTATTTTGGGGTGAAATATTCTACGACTGGTCACACCTTAGGTGAACCGTGTTTTCAGGGCCCCTGAGAGGAGGAGGCAGGGAGGAGGGTTGCACATGGGGGCTCACGGGAGATCCAGCAGTAGGCGTCCTTAGGCACCCGTGCTTTTAAAAAGTCGTGAAATTAGGGGCACCTGGGTGGCTCAGCTGCTTATGCATCTGCCTTCAGGTCAGATCAGGTCAGGATCTCAGGGTCTTGGGATCAAGTCCAGGATCGGGCTCCCTGCTCAGCGGGAGAAAGGGAGGAGTCAGCTTCTCCCTCTGCCCCTCCCCCTGCTCACTCTCTGCTCTCTCTCTCTCTCTGTAAAATAAATAAAATATTTTTTAAAAAAATTAATTAAAAGTACTGAAACTAAATTTTAAGGTAATGACACAAAAATAAACAGGTCCCAGACCTTCCTTTCCATGTGGGTCATGTTTACGCATGGTATAGCTTTCTGTCGCTTGCTTCAAAAAAACAAAAAAAAATTTTTTTTCGATTTTAAGTGTTTGCTGTTGGTGCAAGGAAGTCACTGATTTTACGGCCTTCCTGTCCACGGGTTTCCTTAATCTGTTTTATAAAGTCAGTGCATTGCAGGGAGCATCTGGTTCTCGGAATGCTGTCCTGTTAGTTCAGAAATAAGGCAAACATGACTTCCTTCCGTGCCATCGTGGCGGCTTTCTGTTTCGTCTCATTTTTCATTGCGGATTCCAGAAAAACGTTCATGAATGTGGTGTTTCCATATGACTTACAGTAGTGTCAGTCGATGTAAAAGAGAAAACCCAAAAGCAAAAACCTCTTTTCGCATGTCAGAGAGACTCATTTAGGTTCCTGCTGATCTAACCATGGTTTGTCTCCGAAAACTGGTTTTTGCATATTCTGCAAAAGTTGTTTTCCAACCTCTGCTGAGATTATGATTATTTAGTCCTCCCGTCCCACCTCCACTGATGTTATTCAAACAGATTGTGCACAATCGTGATAGATACTTTTTTTTTGAATTATGTTGAATTCAGTGCATGAGCATGACATTTTGGGGTTTCTATTTTTTATAGCTTTACATTTTTTTCTTCTTTTATATTTTTTTCATTTTCTTCTTCTTTAAAATTTTTTTATTTTTCTTTTTTCTTAAGTTTTTATTTATTTATTCATGAGAGACACACAGAGAGAGGCAGAGACACAGGCAGAGGGAGAAGCAGGCTCCATGCAGGGAGCCTGACGTGGGACTCGAACCCGGGACTCCAGGATCATGCCCTGGGCCGAAGGCAGATGCTCAACCACTGAGCCCCCCAGGTGTCCCTAAAATATTGATTTTTGAGTAAATCCCTACATCCAAAGTGAGGCTCGAACTCACAACCCTACAATCGACACCGGCACGCTCCATGAACAGAGCCAGCCAGGTGCCTCAATTCTTAAAAAAATTTTTAAATGAAAGAGGTTCTTTGGAAAATATCCCGGGGATGGTCTTAGGTCCAAGCGGGGCCGGCGTCGTAAAATCAGGTCTACTCGCCCAACGTTCCCAAAGGTCATGCGTTTTTGCCTCTGTGTGTTGTATGTGTTGCAAATCTCTGGTTCATTTCCTTCCACCTGCTGTGCACAGATTTGTTTTGTGGGTTTTCTCCTGCAGGAAAAAGGGGGAGGGGGGAACTGCTAGCTGGTTAGCAGAGAGAGGCCCTGGTGTTTTAAATGAAAACGGGCCGCAAAAATAAAAATAAAGTAAAAATAAAAATAAAAATAAAATAAATAATAGTAATAATAAAAATAAATAATAAAATAATGAATAAATAATAAAATAATAACTAATAGATAAATAATAAAATGATAATTAATAAATAATAAAATAATGAATGAAAATAATAAATAAATAATAAAATGATAAACAATAAGATGATAATTAATAAATAATAGAATAATAAGTAATAAAGTGATAATTAATAAATAATAAAATAATAATGACATGATTGGTTAATGATAAAATAATAAATAATAAAATAATGAATGAATAATGAGATAATAATTAATAAATAAATAGTGAAATAATAATTAATAAGTAAATAATAAAATAATGATGAATAAATAATAAAATAATGAATGAATAATGAGATAATAATTGATAAATAATAAAATAATAATAATAATAAATAAAAATAAAAACGGGCTGCAGGATTTCTCGCCGGGGTTTTGGATTTTCCGTGAGGCCAAACAGAGATGCCTGCAGGGAAGAGGGGGATAGGCAGGGGGTGATTTGAACCTTGAAGGTATCTCTGGACGTTGTTTTATTCCGTCTTTAGCAGCAGCCCCGTTGCCCCCCCCCGTTGCCCCCGAGAGCTGGCTGGGGGGCCAGGATTGAGGGGAGGGGCTCTTTGCAGCTGGGGGACCTCCAGGGAGCCGGTCCTGCCTGCGACTCTGAGCACAGGTTTGGCACAGGTGTCTCGGGTGTTAATGATGCTCTGATTTTCCTCTGTTTTGAATTTGAGGGAATCTGAGTGGATGTAATTACCGTCGGGTCGGACTCGGGCTGACCGGTCAGGGGAGGCGGTGCGTCCGTCCCCACTGCCCCCAGCCACCCCCTGCCCCGCCGCCCTGTGCCCATGGAAGCCTGTGGTTTCACAAACAGGATGCTGCTGTGCTGACTTTCTTTTCCCCCTTTCTTCCCATGTGATGTTTTTCCTTCCAAACTGTCTTAAATCTCATGTCCTCTGTGGGTCACTGTGTTGACGCTCAGCACGTGATGCCGTGTGGGGCTGGGTGCCGTGGCTGCCCCTGCCAGCGAGCGTTGCTCTGCATGGTCTCCAAGTCCCAAGTCCCTCATTCCATCCCGCTCCATGGACGATGCTTTTTTTTTGGGGGGGGGGATTAAAACTAAATTCTGGAAAAAAAAAAAAACTAAATTCTCCCTGCAGCTGTGAAAGAGCATCAGCTGTGCACCTGCTACGACGTGCATGAACTTTGCAAATATGTTGCTCAGGGAGGAGCAGATAGAAAAGGCTACACGGCGCGTCAGCCGATTTATAGGAAGCTTCCACAATAGACAAATCCTGTTAAAAGAAGTGGGTTAGTGTTTGCCAGGGTCTGAGGACGGGGGTGGGGCCTACGGGGAGGGGGATAAGAATGTTCTGGAACCAGGGGATCCCTGGGTGGCTCAGCGGTTTGGCGCCTGCCTTTGGCCCAGGGCGTGATCCTGGAGACCCGGGATCCAGGCCCGCATTGGGCTCCCGGCATGGAGCCTGCTTCTCTCTCTGCCTCTCTCTCTCTCTGTCTATCATAAATAAATAAATAAATAAATAAATAAATAAATAAACAAACAAATAAATAAATCTTAAAAAAAAAAAAAAGAATGTTCTGGAACCAGAGGTAGAGCTTGCACAACATAGCGAAGCTGCCCGATGCCCCTGACGTGCACACTTCAGACGGATCCACATGGTCCATTGCGTGGTTCACTGTACGCCTAAGTGACCTCGATAAAAAAAAAATCATAATTAAAAAAAATCAATTTTGTAAAAGGGAAAAAGCACAGAGCAAAATAGAAATAAATGTATGACTACGTCGAGGGATGACACGAAATGCCCTACGCACTCGGAAGCCCGACGCGGGTAGAGTGGGCGAGAAGCCGGGGCGCGAGGTGCCAGCGGGCAGCCTGTGTGGACGTGGCACACGTGGGCGGGACCTCCCCCCTCCCTGATGCACCTGCTCCCTGAAATCAGCAAGAAACGTAAAAATCCCATCTTTTAGACGAGCGAGAAATGGTCTCTTGGAGCAAAGTTCCCCCAAACACAGGAGGCAGGACCCCCTTTTGCACACATCTCAGGGAGCCCCCGGTGCTGCTGCACCTTTTCTAAAGGGGATGCTCATGACAAAGAGGTAGGAGGCTCTCTCTGTCGTTTTGGAACTAGACAGCACGTCTTATTTTATTTCATTTTATATTTTATTATTATTATCATTATTATTATTATCATCATCATCATCATCATCATCATCATCATTAGAGATTTGAATGCACCCTCACGATGCACAACCGGGACGTGTTTGTGAGCCTCTGATGATGTAGGTGCATTTCTCCTCATCCTGGTCACCGACAGGCCCAGCTGTACGGAAACTTCTATTCAAACATTTTCTCCCCGAAAACGTCTGAATGAGTCACCCCCTGGCCGCATCCTGGGCGGTGTGTTAACGCTGCCAATCACCTGACTTTTGTGTAAATCCCAGACATTCCTTCGGAGGGACTCTGGTGACCTCAGTAAGGCCCAGGCTGCTCCTCCTAGAACAACCCCGCTTGCCTGTAGGTCTTTGTCCATCATTCTCGTGTCCACATACGTATTTTCTTTGATTTTGGGATTCCCAAGACACTTTTTTTTTTTCTTGTCTGGAGCAAAACCTTTTCAGATAAAAGGGTTTCTATAGACTCAGAAATGGAACATGTGGTGTTGCCGCCTCCAGAAAAAAAAAGAAATTCTCCAATTATCTCCTACGGCACGATCAGTCCTCTAGACTCCTAATTTTGGGGACTCTTTGCTTTTCCTTTTTTTTTTTTAAGATTTATTTATTTATTTATTCATGAGAAACACACACAGAGAGAGAGGCAGAGACACAGGCAGACGGAGAAGCAGGCTCCATGCAGGGAGCCCGAAGTGGAACTTGATCCCAGGACCCCAGGATCACACTCTGGGCCAAAGGCAGGTGCCACACCGCCGAGCCACCCGGAAATCCCTGAAATTTATTAAACACAAAATCTGTCCCCACAACGCAGCATGACCCCCACAGAGAGATAACAGCTGAATTACTACATGAGCATGAATAACATTATTTCATAAATAATCACATAAACCAGGACCACCCAAATGAGGACACGTGAGACTCTCTCCGGGGTGTCGGTCACCAGATCTTACCCTTGTCAGAGCCCCCAGAGTCCTGCAGAGGAGTGAGAAAACGTTCTAGGGGTGCAGGCGAGCAAAACCACGGTTGTCTACACTGTTGAGTTCTGTGTGCGAGGCTCTGCAAATTAGAGTCACAAAAAGACAGGTTAGCTGAGAAGAGGCATGCGCTCTCTATATGCTGTTAAAAATTTTACATGGCATGAGTTTTCTTGATGAAAAAGAAAAAAAAATGGCCCCCAAAAAGCAGTTAGACCAGAGCTTGTATCCCATGAACGGCGCAGATGTGACAAGAGGCAGAAAAAGAGCGAGAGGCTGCTCAAGGCAGCACCTCTCGGGAAGATCGATATTTGGAGGACACTGCAGGAAGACAAGGTTTATTTTGGTAGATTTGTTCGTACAGGTCCATATTGGTGCCAAATTTCTGCCCTTTTTGTGGTCCTAAGAGTTACCACAGAGAGAGGGAATCTGGGGCATCTTTGTTTCTAGAAGTTTCTGCAGTTAGATAATGGAAAGTCCAGGAAGGTCTTTCTTTCTTTCTTTCTTTCTTTCTTTCTTTCTTTCTTTCTTTCTTTCTTCTTTCTTTCTTTCTTTCTTCTCTTTTCCCTCTTTCTTTGTCGTTTTTACATTTTGACTTCTTTTTTTCTTTTCTTCTTTTTATTTTTTTTATTTTTTAAGATTTTATTTATTTATTCATGAGAGGCACAGAGAGGGAGAGAGGCAGAGACCCAGGCAGAGGGAGAAGCAGGCTCCATGCAGGGAGCCCGATGCGGGACTCGATCCCGGGTGTCCAGGATGACGCCCTGGGCCGAAGGCAGGTGCTAAACCCCTGTGCCGCCCGGGCTGCCCTTCTTTTTTTTTTTTTTTTTTTTTTAATTCAACTGCCCAACACATAATACATCATTACACGACGGCTTCTCTCTGAATGTGTTGGTTCTCAGTTGCTCCTGGCTCAGCACAATCCTCAGGCCACATTGGACATGGGAAACAGAATTAGGGACGTCGTCAGTGTCACTCAAGCCCTGGCCATCGTGGGCCAGCTGTGAGCTCCTGGGATTATTGCACATAGTCTCCCGCAGGCCTCACGAGGCCGGACGCGTGCACTTGTTATTAAAGTCACGTGACCGAGTGGGGAGAGGTCCAAGGGGGCACATCCCACCGTGGAATGATCTGAGGACTGAGTGGCCCCAGGGACCCCGAAGCGCACGTGATGTACAGGTTTTCCATGGTGCGCTTCCCAGGTCACAGAGGACGACACGCACTACTGCATCTTCCGCAACCACGTGCTGCACAGAGGGGCGAACCTCACCGTGAACGTCACGTGTGACGGTAATGTGTTCCAGGAGCTGCTGGTTTTCGCCAACCCAGGTGAGGTCCCCGGTGCTGGGAAGTTCCCAGCTCCCGCCTCACCCGCCTGAGGGCCACCGAGGTCTCCACCCCTTGGGTGTGGGTGGTGGCGGCGCAGCCCGTGAGGGTTTTGTCGGTTGGCGTCTTGCCAGGCATGGAAGGTTCCGGCGCCATGAACTTCTCCTGCTTCATTTACAATGTCCGCTTCATGAACTGCAGCTGGGCGCCTGGCTCCAGGGCCCCCGCCGACGTCTGCTACCGGCTCTTCTGGTGGGCTTCTTTGTAAGTGCCTCGCCTTTCTCCCAAGCAACGGGGATCTTTGTGCAGATGCTAACGGGGGATCTTTGTGTGGATGCTATTGGGGGATCTTTGTGTGGATGCTATTGGGGGATCTTTGTGTGGATGCTAATGGGGGATCTTTGTGTGGATGCTATTGGGGGATCTTTGTGCGGATGCTAATGGGGGATCTTTGTGTGGATGCTATTGGGGGATCTTTGTGCGGATCCTAATGGAGGATCTTTGTGTGGATGCTAACAGGGGGGATCTCTGTGGGGTTGCTAATGGGGGATCCTTGTATGGATGCTAACGGGGAGATCTTTGTGTGAATGCTAACGGGGGATCTTTGTTCGATGCTAAGGGGGGGACTCTTTGTGCGGATGCTAATGGGGAATCTTTGTGTGGATGCTAATGGGGATCTTTGTGTGGATGCTATTGGGGGATCTTTGTGTGGATGCTAATGGGGGATCTTTCTGTGAATGCTAACAGGGGGGATCTCTGTGGGGTTGCTAATGGGGGATCTTTGTATGGATGCTAACGGGGAGATCTTTGTGTGGATGCTAATGGGGGATCTTTGTGCGGATGCTAACGGGGGATCTTTGTGTGGATGCTATTGGGGGATCTTTGTGTGGATGCTAATGGAGGATCTTTGTGTGAATGCTAACAGGGGGGATCTCTGTGGGGTTGCTAATGGGGGATCTTTGTATGGATGCTAACGGGGAGATCTTTGTGTGGATGCTAATGGGGGATCTTTGTGCGGATCCTAACGGGGGATCTTTGTGTGGATGCTAATGGGGGATCTTTGTGTGGATGCTATTGGGGGATCTTTGTGCGGATGCTAATGGGGGGGGATCTTTGTGTGGATGCTAACAGGGGGATCTTTGTGCAGATGCTAACGGGAGGATCTTTGTGTGGATTCTAATGGGGGGATCTTTGTGCGGATGCTAGCAGGGGGATCTTTGGATGCTAATGGGGGGATCTTTGTGCGGATGGTAATGGGGGATCTTTGTGTAGATGCTAACAGAAAATGTAGAGCGAGCTGTAGGGCTTCCTCCCCATGGTGGGGTGCCTCCCCGAAATGTCACAAAATCACAGAACCCGGGCAGGACAACCATTTCTCTTTGCCGCAGCCTGGCTCCAAAATGCACACTTCGCCTCCCGTCCTTAAGAGATGAGGAAATCCATAGTTTAGAGATTTTATCATGCACGGAATGGGTTGCAACGGCTGCGCCCGTTAAACGGCAGGATTTGTCCCTGAGTGCCACGTCCCAGCCTAGTGCGTGGGACGCGTGTCGTGTTCTGGTTTTGCGTTTATCCGGGGATGGATTTTATCATTTTTTTAGAGGGTTTTCTGGGTTTTGACCTGGGGGGGGGGCATATTTTGTTGTTGATACTATCTGCTCAGAACGACACACAGTCATCGGGCTTTTCCTGGGTCCCTTTTGCCAATGACAGGCACGAGGACGAGGTGGAGTGCCCGCACTACATCATGAACAACGAGGGGATGCGCGTGGGCTGCCATTTCGATCAACTCGGCGAACCCCAGAACATGGACAATTACTTCTTCCTGGTGAACGGGACCAGCCGCACGGCGGCAATTCCGTTTTTGGACTTCGTTCCATTTCAAGCCTACAAAATCGGTAAGAGGTGACCTCGCCTTGGGTCCGCCCCCCCTGCCCCGGGTGAGCCATCTCTCTCTCGCTTCTCTCGTCTCCCATCTCCGCTCACACCTGGGCCACCTGGGACGCGTTGCTGGGTTCCCTCCCAACCTGCCTGAGCAAGATCCGGGCTGTGCACTTGGGGTCTGGGATAGTCCCCGTGGGTGGGATGCAGGAGAGGCCTGTGATCATGACACGTGTAAAAGACGTCACGTGCCCACTTTTGTTGATTTTTGTAAATTCTCCACAAATCTTGAATTCACGAATCCTGTCTCATTATTGCTGATGGGGTGGAAATACGGGGTTGGTCTCTGGTCACCACATGTTCATCAACTGGTCAGCACATAGCCTTGTTTTATGTTTGTTTCTGTTTAAAGACATCTTATAGGGATCCCTGGGTGGCTCAGCAGTTTAACGACACCTTCAGCCCAGGGCGCGATCCTGGAGACCAGGGATTGAGTCCCTCATCGGGCTCCCTGCATGGAGCCTGCTTCTCCCTCCTTCTGTGTCTCTGTCTCTCTCTTTCTCTCTCTCTCTCTCTTGTCTATCACAAATAAATGAATAATTACATCTTTTTTAAAAAAAAGACATATAGTGTAGATTGTTGATGCATTAATGTTGAATCCAAGACCCAGAGCCCTGAACAATGCTTATCTAACATGTATACTTTCTCCAAGATGTACACCATGGCCTTCTTGTGCATACGAATGCAAAAGAAGAAAAAAAAAACTTCCTCTACCCTCTTAGGTTCTGTACACAGGGCTTGCAAATTAAATGGACAAATGCTATATTAACAGGAGAAAAGCATACAAATGCAATTTTAACTTTTAAGTTTTATATGCATCAGGGGAAAGCTTCACAGAAAAGAAACGAACATCTCCCAAAGAAGTGGTTAGACTCAGGAACTTACATACCATTTATTTTTCATTTTTTTTAAAGATTTATTTTTTTTTATTTTTTATTTTTTATTTTTATTTATTTATTTATGATAGTCATACAGTGAGAGAGAGAGAGAGAGAGTCAGAGACACACGAGGAGGGAGAAGCAGGCTTCATGCCGGGAGCCTGATGTGTGGGACTCGGTCCCGGGACTCCAGGATTGCACCCTGGGCCAAAGGCAGGTGCCAAACCACTGAGCCACCAAGGGATCCCCCTATTTTTCATTTTTTAAATTTACTTTTATATATTTTTATCCATACGACCTTTTAATTAAAAACAACTGATTACTGAGTTAAAGAAAAAGTGATTTGTGCTTTTAGAGGTGGTAAACTGAGGAAAGGTAAACGTATGGGGAAAGTAACGGGAGACAGGGCTATAGTAGTAAGGTTTGTTTGTGCAGACTCAGCTTGCTGCCGACTTTCTATTCTCTTCGCGGACATAAAAATTCCCCAGAGTCGGGATTCACGGCAGTCATAGTTTCTCAGAACTGTGCGGTCTTAGTCACTCCCATAAGCTCCAGGAAAGCTTCTTTCTGGGTCTGCGATTGTCAGCTGCCTTCAGTTCCAAGTCACTCATGTGCCAAGGTGTCATGTTCAGGGGGTGGCCTCCCGATCCGCCTTGCGCACATCACACAGCAACCCAGCTGGAGCCCCTAACACCCCCCAACCGTGAATTCACCCCATCCACATTGCACATTTAATTTTTTTTTTTTTTGGAATTGCACATTTAAAACACGCTGCGCCGTTTGCGGGCGTTTTGTCGTCATTTTGGTTCTGTTTCGTTTTCCGCAGAGAAGTATGACCCGCCGACGAACATCACGATCACCTACAACAGATCGCACCACATTATCAAGTGGGACAATCCCGAGATCAGATACGACCTTTCGAGTTACGTCCTGTACTACGAGCTGGACATCCAAAGAGCGGTAAGAAGCCCCGACCCTGGTGCGCGACCCACAAACCATCCGCAATCTGGTATTTTCCTGGGGAACGCAATCCCGGCAGCTGATGAGCATGCGCCCCTGCTCCAGGAACATGTCTGAGCACTCCTGTACCCTGTTTTTGCCCTAAACGGGTGATTGATTCCTTTATTACTTTTTAATGAAATTCCCTTATTTATTTTTATTTTTAAAATTTTTAAAACACTAATCTTATTTATTTTTTTAAAAATAATCCCTATGCACCACGTGGGGCTCCAACTCAGGACCCTGCAAGCTGAGTGACATGCTCCACCGATCGCCAGCCAAGGAATCCCAATCTGGTGTTTATTTTTTAGAATCATTTTAGGTTCATAAAGTAACGACCCTGGACGTCTTCACTGGTCCCATTAGCGACATTTTTCACAATGCGGCCTTATGGGACGCAGCCCCTGTCAGGACGTTTTTTGGAAACAAAATGTGAAAATGGGTCGGGAATGGCGGGGCTCATGGTAAGGACATGGGAGGCCTCCCCCCCCACCCCGCATCTTCAGTTTGCCCATTTGATAAGTGAGCTTCTGCAGCCTGAGATCTGGACTCGTCCCCGACTCCTGGAAGTTGGGGACTTTCCGGCAGACGCTCGGCATCTGTGTTTTTCCCGTGGCCTGGGGCTTTACCCTGGGCCCCACGCCTGGAGCCGGGGCAGAGGGGCAACTCAAATTCATGCATCCTCTCTTGCCCTCATCAGAGACACACAGTCCGGTGCCGTGCTGTGGGCATTCGGTTCTGAGCACCTGAGACCCCAGGGCCTTTGCACGTCCTGCTGCTTCTGCTGGCAGGCCCTCCCTCCGTCCTCAGGTGCTGGGTCCTCCGTATCCACGCCCATTCTCACCTCCTGCCCCACTGGTCTCTCTCCATTGTGCCGCCCCCCTTCCCTGATCCGCTTTCTTCCCAGGGGCGATCTGGAATCAGGCGTGACCTGAAATGTTCTAGTGCCTCTGCTTTGTGCGTCTTGCCTCCTGGAGGCAGGTCCCCTGAGTGCGGGGACCCTGTCATCGTGCCTACGCTGACCACAGAGCTTGTGCACACCACAGTGTGGGGCACACGTGAGAGTTCTGGGGCGACCCCCAGGCCCAGCCCCCATGGAACCACGCAGCCCCGGGCACCGTTCAGAATGGAAATGAGGTCATGACCCTTCCGTCCCTAAAGCCCTCCCCAGGTCGGGTATGGATCTTGGATTAGAGTCAAGGCCCCGGATGTGCGTGCCCAGGGTCTGCGGTGTCTGGTCCTGCCCGCCGGCGTCGTCCTGCCCCATGCTTGTGTGGGCAAAGTCACACAGGTGACCTCAAACAGGTGGGCTTGTGCACTGGTGTAACTATGCACAGGTGACCTCACATAAGTGACCTCACACTGGTGACGTCATAGGTGACTGCATCCACGTGACCTCACACACACCTCACACAGAAGATGTCACACAGTGACACCCACACAGGTACCTATACAGTGGTCACCTCACAGGTGACCTCACACAGGTGAACTTACAGAGGCAACTAGGCATGGTGACCTCACACATGTGACCTCATACTGGTGACGTCACAGGTAACTGCATCCATGTGACCTCACACAGGTGACTTCACACAGGTGAACTTACAGAGGCAACTAGGCACAGTGACCTCACACATGTGAGCTCATACTGGTGACGTCACAGGTAACCGCATTTATGTGACCTCACATAGGTGAACTTACACAGGTAACTATGCACAGGTGACCTCACACAGGTGGTCCCACTCAGGTGACCTCTGGCAGCTGTGCAGCCTGGAGCGTCCTGTGCATGTCACCCCCCAGGTGCCAGGACCGCCAGCAGCAGCAACCCTTTGGTCATCAGGTCCCACCTGACGTCCACACAGCCTCACGGACTCACCCAGTAAACGCTGGAGCCCGCTGAGGGTCTCGGAGGTGGTCAGTCCTTACGAGGCGTTTGAACATTCCCCGACGCAGAACAAAACGCTCCTGTAGACGCTGCCTTCTCGCCCCTCATCAGTATCCCCAGAGCACGCTGCCAGCCAGAGAGAAATTCACAAGAAGGAAATTGATCCTTTATGTGTCGAGGGGGGAAAAGCTCTTCCTCCACCCTCTTAGGTCCTGAACCTGGGAGGTGCAAATTAAATAAAAGGACAGTTAAGAGAGGGGGGGAGCAAACGTTATTCACATGCATATGGGACCTCACAGAAGAAGAGACTCTTGAATAACTGAAGTTAGGGCCTTACCTACCTAACAAGGGGGAAGGGAAGGGAAAGAAAAAAGCTTCCTATTTTTTTTTTTTTTTTTTAGAAAAAGCTTCCTTAAGAACAAAATGGGTTTAAAAAAAATGGGTTTGTAGAACAAATAGGAGATAAGAACCACTGTGACGATGTTTGTTTAGGCAGACATCAGTGGCGTTTTTTTGTCTCTTGTGCGGGCACGAAACTCCCCTGAATGGGATGAACACTGGGTGTCATACCATATGTTGGCAAATTAAATTTAAATCTAAAAAATGTAAAATAAAATTAAATAAATAAATAAATAGAAAGGAGAGGAAGAAAGAAAGAAAGAAAGAAAGAAAGAAAGAAAGAAAGAAAGAAAGAAAGAAAGAAAAGGAAAAAGAAAAAAAAGAGAGAAACTCCCCCAGATGTGCCATTGAGGAGACATTCACGGTCCCTCCCGGAAGTGAGGTGTCCCCAAGCGGGGAATTCACCGCAGTCCCTCCTTCCCAGTCCTCTGCTCTCCGGCACGTGGAAAAGCTCTGAGGAGGCTTCTTCCTACCCGCTCCGGGGTTCCACGTGGGTTCCCACATTTGCACATGATGCTGAAAACACACATTTTAACGATCTTTCCCTTTTTTCAGGGCGGCTCCTCCAACACAAAGCACGTAAGTCTCTCTGCCTTTCTGAGCGACTCCTGCTGCGCAGGAGGGTCCCCGAGGTGATGGGGAAGGGATCCATCCGTGGGCTACCTGGCAGGTGCCCCCGGGGCCACACCGGCCCCTCTGGTACCTGCCCCCGGGCTACTGCGGCTTAGGGGGCGGGGCAGTAGCGTGGGGTCTGCTGGGTCTAAAACAACAACTTGAGCTCGTAAAGATGAGATATCTCAGCCGTGGACACGTGAGCAGAAGAAACTGGGTTCTTGGGGTCACAGGGACCGTCAGGGACATGTCCCGGGTCGTGCGACCTGGGGTTGGCGTCCGTCCTGATATCTAGGCTGCAGGGAAGCACCACGGCCTCCGGAATGACCCGGCAGGCAGGGACTCTGTGTCCCACTCAGGTCCCGCCCAGACGTGCTTGGATGTTTGGATGAGATTTGTGGGGCGGGGGCGGGTGGGGGTGCAGCGGGAGGGGCCACCCCGTCTCAGGAAACGCAGCCCTGCTCCTGACGACCCTTCCAGGTCCTTCTTAGCTTTCCCCGCTCACCACCGGGTCTTCTGTCCTGTGTCCCTCTGCCAGGCCCTCCAGACCCGCCTGCCCCGGGACACCAGGGTGCGCCATCCCCGTGCGGTGAACTCCGGACAGGTGGTGGCCCCCGTCCACAGGGACGCTGGGGCCTGTCCCAGAACCGGCCTCCGTTTTGGCCATAGGGAGGGGCAAGAGGGCGTGGGGCAGTCCCCAGGGGCGCAGCTGGCGGTGTCGGACTCAGGACACGGATGGCCACGGGGGGCCCCGACCACCCCTCCAACCACCCCCTGCAACCACCACCGGTGTGCAGATTCGGAATAACCTGGAGCCACCCTGGAGGGTCTGGGGACTCTGCCCAATATGTGGGTGCAGCTCAGGGAGCCCTTCCCAGGGGACAGGCACAGGGTCCAGCTTCCTAGGGGACATCCCAGGGAACAGATGCAGGGTCCACCTTCCCAGAGGACAGGTGCAGAGTCCACCTTCCCTGGGGACATCCCAGGGGACAGATGCAGGGTCCACCTTCCCAGGGGACAGGTGCAGAGTCCATGGTCCCAGGGGACAGCCGGTGATGCTTCCTGCCTGGTGCCCGCTTGAGATGGACGGATGCCCCTGGCCGGGGTGTCAGGTGTCGCCTCTGCCCAGATGCGGATGCGGGGAGGGCAGACCCCAGGGGACCTCCACACCTCCGTCACAGCCGGTGGTCTCCTCTCCTGAAGGTGTTCCAGCGGGGACAAGACCCGAACGTGTACCTGATGCCCAGTTCCGCCGCCAGGGTGGAAAGCACGTTCCGCGCGAGGGTGCGCTACGTGTATAACGACCTGTGGAGTGAGTGGAGCCCGACGGTGCTATTCGGTGAGCGCCCCGGGCCCCCCGCGCAGGCTCCGAGGACGAGGACGGACGGATGGATCCGCGCGGGGCTCCCCCCACGTCCCCGCGCCTTCCTCCACCGCCTCCTGCCGCTGGCCCCGGGGTCCGGGGGGAGCTCATCTGGGACCCTGCACCTCGCCCACCTGGAATGACCCTATTCCCAGCAGGTCCCGCGCAGGGATGTCGGGGTTGGGGCGCACGCAGCTTTTGTTTGGGGGGGGGCGGCTGAGTGCACTGCAGCGGCTCCCAGCGCGCTCTCTGCCCCGACGCAGCATCTGCGGGCGTGTCCTGCTGCTCCGCACGCCCTCCCGTGGCCTGGGGTCACCCTCCAAGGACGCACCCCCAGATTGCAGCACGGGCACAGTGAACCCCCTGGGCTGCTGTTCCCTCAGCCCCGCTGGGGTGTCTGCAAGGCCCTCGTTGCCGCTGTCCCCCTCCCGCGGGGGTCACGCAGGGCTCAGGAGTGCTCGGCCCATCCCCCTGGGCGCTCCATCACCTCCTCGTCCTTCAGGGGGGCAGGGACGGTTATCCCAAAGCCAGTGGCCTGCAAGGTGACAGCTCCCATTACGCAGAAGGGCAAGCGGCAGGAAACGCACGGTTTTATGCAGGGGGGGGGGCGCCAAATACCCGCCTGCAGGGGCAGCGGAAACCCCACAAGGCCAGGGTCCGCCCAGAGCCTCGTCTGCGGCTCCCACACCTCCGTTCTGGGGGTAGCCACAGCGCATGAGCTCCAAGTATGCTCCAGCTGGATGCGTAAGAGCTCTGCAGGCTGGCGCCCCGCACCCCCACCCAGAGGAGCCCCCAGTGCACGTGTGGGCTCCTTCCGTCCCGAGATCGGGGTCTCCGCTCGCAGGAGCGGCGCAGACCACCCAAGGCCAAGCCGCGGTACCCAAAGGGGAGCGTCCGGGGCGATAGAAACCGCGCGTCTGTCCCACCCTCAGGAGTTTCTCAATTACGCGTTCATTCCCTTGGCTGGGCCGCAGGGTGTTCAAAGTGAACGTGGGCTGAGAAGGAACATGCGTGCGCGGTGCTGGTTGGGCCTGTGCGCAAACGCTTACGGGGCAGCTCCGTCGGGAGCAGGGCGCGGAGGACACGGGGGGGGGGGCGGCGGGCGGGGGGCGGGAGGGCACAGGACTCAGCGGAGGGTCCGCGCCGCAGGGCCAGCGCTCCCGCCTGCGCCGCGAGGCCTCCCCGGGGAGGGAGTCGGACACCAGCGCCGGGGCCGCCGTGTGCGCCACCCAGACGCCGCGCTCCTGACGCCGGCTCCTCCCCCCCGCCCAGGCCTCCCGGAGGAGCGCGAGCCCCGCGGCGCTCTGTTCGACGTGGTGGTGTGGGCCACGGCTGTGCCCGCGCTGCTCCTCATGTGCCTCTGCAAACGGTAAGGCCCCGGTCCTGGCACCAGCACGCAGGACGCTTCTCGGGGCGCGGGACCCGGTGCGTGCGGAATGGCCTCGGGGAGGGCGAATCCGGAGTCCAGGGGGCGCGGACCCGGGCGTGGGACCCCGTGCGTGCGCAATGCGGAGAGGGAGACGCGAATGCAGAGTCCAGGGGGCGCGGACCCGGGCGTGGGACCCCGGGCGTGCGCAATGCGGGGAGGGGGGCGCGAATCCGGAGTCCAGGGCGCGCGGACCCCGGGCTGCGGAGGGCTGGCGAGGGTCGAGAAGGGACTGTCCCTGGGGTAAGGGTCTCCTGCTGCGCGCCCACACGCCCTCCGCACCCCGGGCAGGGTCGGTGGGTCCGTGCAGCCCCGGCCTGGCTCCGGAGGTGCGCGCTTTCTCTGGGGCGGGAAGGGAGCCCGCGGCCCGGGGTGCGCTCCACGGTGCCGTGTCCTCAGCAGGTTCTACAGGAGCCACAAGCTGTTTCCACCCATCCCGCAGGTCAAGAAGGAAATCACGGGGGCCCTCATGCCGACCCTGGAGGTGAGCGTGTGCCCCCGGCACCCTGGGAGGTGGTGCGGACCCTCTGGGGTTCACAGTGTTTGCAGGTGACCGCCACCCTGGGGCACGGTGTCACAGGGCAGGGGTGTCCTGAGCTCCCCAACCCTGGGAGCACTTCCCAGGGAACAGATGGTGGACAGAGGGAAGTGGACGCTCCCCCCACCCCCACCGGCCCGCAGCGTCCAGCTGCCTTCACGACAAAAGTCTGTCCTGGGGTCACCCACCACATAAGTGGAAATGTGGGGTCTGGCCGAGGAACAGCCGTGGAGCGCGGGAAGCGTTGTGACCCTATTTCTCTGCTGGAAACCCCCCGCTGGTCCTGGGGGGAGGCGGAGGGAGCTGTTGATTGGTCTCTGTCCCTTAGGGGGGCTCGTGGACACCAGCACCCTCGTGAGGACACCCCGACCCCATTACATGGGTTCAGATCCTACTTGCACATAGAGGTGCCTCCACTGGGTGTGGATGGAGCTGGGGTTTGGGGGCGACCCTTTGACCCCTGACCACAGTCCCCTGTGGTGAGGGACCCTCCCTAGAGCTGGGGGCACCCATGGCTCTTCTGACTTGCCCTGAGCATGTGCCCCAGATGCTGCCCCGTGATGAGCGGAGGATCTCCCCCAACATGGATTGGGGGGCTCCGGTTCTGGGCTTGATGCTGTTTCCTTGGGAAGCCTCCTCCCCCTCCCCTGGGGTGCCCTTGAGGCCAGTCCGGCCTCCCAGCGGGGGTTTAGGGTCCGCCCTCGGGGTAGCAGGTGTCAGAGCTGCTGTGTCCTAGTCCCCTGCATGCGTGTGCATGTGTGCACGCATCCGGCCGCCGAGGGGGCTGCGTCCACTCTGTTCACGGATCCTTTCCTGGTGGCGCCACAGGTGCGTGGCAGGTGCGTGGTGTCCACGCTGCCCATCTTGTCTTTCTCAGGTCGCCTGGGATGACGGCCACCCGCCGCCGGGCTCCCAAGAACCCGAGGAAGTCCTGATGGTGGAGGAAACGTGGTGACTGCCGTGGGGACAAGCGGACATCGCAGCTTTGGCCTTATCCCCCTCCCTCCCCGCCACCCCTGAAAATGTCACGTGTGTGCGTCGTCCACTCAAAGACTTCTTCGCTGACCTGCAGCGCTGCCACCCCGACACCCAGCAGCATGGCTTTTGGGCTTTCTGCGCGTGTCCACGCGGGCCCGCCGGGCGGGATGGTGTGTGCCGCGGGACACCCCCTGGGGGGAGGCCAGCTGTCCGTCTGTGTGTCCGTGTCTCTGACGCACGACGCGCCCACTCGGGGACAAGGAGAGAGAGGCCGGTCTGCACGCCCAGGTCCCGCGTGTGGGTCCCACAGGCTGGGAAGCAAGCGGGAGGTGGGCGGGAGCGTCCCCGTTGGTTTGTGCACCTGCTGCTCTGACCCAGCGGAGATTTGGAGGTCGGCCTGTCCCCATGATGCAGCTAACGTGTTTCAACGTGACAAATGATGGACGTGGCGGGGCAGGGGGGGGGAGGACCTCCTGGGAGGAAAGAGCGCGCCTGTGTTCCGCGGATGTGCCTCTGCATTCGGGGATCTGCTTGTGTCTGGATGACGCTCAACCTTGTGTCGACCCCCGGGAGGTGAAGGCGTTAGGGCGCAAATCCAGCTGCCGCCCCCGCGCCCTCGGAACTCACGCTGCCCCGTGGCTGTTCATCCAAAGCACCTGCAAAAACCCAAAAAAACCACGTAGGCAAACACACACACACACACACACACAGGAAATAAAGCTGTCAGTGCAGGAGACGCTCACCACACCGCCTGATGTGAAATATGTCCCCTCCCCACGCGCGGCTTCCTGACGCCCAACACGGGAGGAGCTGCGCACCGCCACCCCCACGCGGCGCCCGAGGCGATGCTCACGTGTCTGTGGAAACTGATTCGGCATCTCTATCGCGGGTGCAAAGCCAGCTGAAAGGTGTTTTCCAGAAATTTGCCCTAAAAATGATGGTGTGGGCTGCGGAGGCCCCGCGAACGCGGACGCGGGTTTGCACTTGCTCGCGGTCAAGAACCCGGGTCACCGCCCGCGGCAGCCAAGTGCAGGCGGGACCGGGATGAGGTCCCTGCAGGTGCGCGCGGGAGGGGATGAAGCCCCTGCAGGTGCGCGCGGGACGCGGATGCGGCCGCTGCAGGTGCGCGCGCGGAAGGGGATGCGGCCGCTGCAGGTGCGCGCGGGAGGGGATGAGGCCGCTGCAGGTGCGCGCGGGAGCGGGAGGGGGTGAGGCCGCTGCAGGTGCGCGCGGAAGGGGATGCGGCCGCTGCAGGTGCGCGCGGGAGGGGATGCGGCCTATGCAGCTGCTCGGGGACCTGTGCGCCGCACCGCAGGGGGTTATCTGCAGGCTGGGCGCACTTTCATCTCCTGCTTATCCGTACTTCTGACTGGGGATGGGCGGGAATTAATTTCATAGTGACCCCGGGGTGCATTTCTGTAAAGAAGAAAAAAGTCAGGTGTTAGGAGCACGTTGTGATGTGAAATGACCATCTTCTCGGGGCTCCCGTGATTTTCCAAATTGCCAGGAATGAACACGTTTTGCTGTCGGGAAGGCTGGTTTGCCAGGAATCCCGTGGCTGGTGAAGAAAGGTCACTCACGGGGGTTTTGGTCCTGAAAGGGACCCTGCGTGGTCCGCCCTCTGCACAGGCGGCAAAGGGGTGCGGAGGTCACTTTGGAAAACGCAAAGTGGGGGGAGGGGGCGTCCCCGGAACACGGGATCCGTGCAGGGTGGGCGCCAGGGCGTGGATGGCGCTGTGGGTCTGCATGCCAGGTATGCACTCACGCACAGCTTTGCAGGTGCACGGCGGGGTCCCTCTGGGCAGAGGAGGGGAGACCCCGCTCCCAGACAAGCAGGTGTCTCTGTCCCCGGGTTTCCTGGATGCTGATGTTCCGCAGTGTGGGGCGCTTTGTTCAGATCTCGAGAAGGGCATATGGCCAGGTCGGGGAGGACGTGCGTTGTGCGGGGACCCCCCTCTTGGCTGGTCTTCTTTAGGGCTCAGGGTCACAGGGGGCCCTGGGAGCTGCCCCCATGGCTCTCACCTCTCCCATCTGTTGTCTGGAAGCTTCCCATCTGGCCTCCTCCCTAGCCCTCTGGCCATCCTCCGTCTACACTGGCTGTCTACACCAGCGTTGTGTTTGGAGACCCACGGGCTCTGCAGACAGGATTTGGCCAATCCACTGCCCTGCAAGGTCTGGACTCACACCCACAGCCCAATCGCGACCCGGGAGGGCATTTGGAGAGGACCTTGGTCCCCAAACTGGGTCGTTTGAACCATGACCACCGAATAGCCACCAAGCTGCATTGGTGGAGCAATATTTAGTGACGACCCCATAAATAGTGACGCACCTATAAACAATAAAACCCTCAAAAACCAAGAAACAGAGGCTGATGCGGAGATGGGCCCACGATGCCGGTAGGGCAGGGGTTCCAGCGGGAGAGGTGGACATGTGCGTCCAGAGCGATGGGGACTCGGTACGGGTGCTGTGGAGACGTCCACGGTCTGCGTCTCTCGCCGCTCTCTGGATGAGTACAGGGATGGGGAACGAGGGCCACGCGCGTGTCCCACCTGCGGGGGAGGCTGAGGCCAGGCCCCCAGGACGTGGGACGAGTGACACACACGTTGGCACGGGGCTTGTGGGTGCACAACAGGGGCTCTGGGGACCGTGCCCCTCCAGGACCTTCCTCGCTGACCACAGACAAAACATCGGGGTTCGGCGGTGACCATCTAGGGAAGAAAACGCCGGCCCGGGTGTGCGCTCACGTAGACGGCTCCGAGGACACAGCCGGCGGCCGGCGCGCTCAGCAGTCCACACGGTGAAGAAACGCATTTCACAAGAGGCGATGGTGGCCGATACGGACGGGTGGGCCCAACCACTTCCACGTTCGGGGTCGGGGCGGCGTGAAGATGCGCAGAAGCCGAGAGTCGGCGTCTTTCGAAAGACTTCCGTGCCCCTCGAGAGGAAACCGGGTGGCCCGCGCGGAGGAGGAAGCGCGCGCTGGCTCCCCGCTATCACGGCGGCCAGCTGTCAGGTGGCCCCGATACCACTGGGGGAGCCGCCCCGTCAAGGTGCTGTGTGCGATAAGCCCGCAACCACGGTGGGGGGGCGCTCGGGACCCAAAGAGAGAAGGTCCTGCTGCAAACCCCTGCTCCGTCGGGGGATGAGCGCGACCCGGGGTCGCTGACGCCCCTAACACCTGGGACCTGGGAATCCAGCCCTAGGCCGCGGGGCTGCAGGCTCGGGGTGACGGGTCACCGGTGCACCTCGGTGGGCTCGGGGCCCACGAGATCGCCAGGCCTGGGTTCCTGGGCCTGCAGGAGCCAGAGTGAGGGCCACGGAGTCCATGCTTGGGGTGCGGAGGGAAGCATGACATGATGTGGAGGGATCCTGGGGTGGCCCTAAGGAGCAACCACTAGCTATGGGGTGAGGGCCACAGGGATCCACCGTCCCCCAGCTTCGGGGACCCGAGATGTGAGGTCCAGCTTCTCACAAGGACCCGTCGACAGCTCGTCCCAGCTCGTCCACGTCACCTGCTAAGACCCTGTGTGCACGCTCGGGTCCCCGCCACTCAGGCGGCACAGTCACGGGAGCTGGTCACTTCCCGGGGCGCCTGGGTGGCTCGGTCAGTGAAGCACCCCACTCTGGGTTGCGGCTCGGGTCACGCTCTCAGGACCCTTACATGGAGCCCCGCGTCGGGCTCACACGCTGGGCACGGACCTCACTGACTCTCTCGCTCTCTCGCTCCCTCGCTCTCCCTTTGCTCCATCACCTGTAAATAATAATAATAATAATAAATAATTTTTAATGAGTTTCTTTTCCTTGGGAAGCACATGATTGCAGGAGGGATGTGCACCCCCTACAGCATCTGCTGGTGAGTAAATGCCCCGAAGGTCTCGGGGAGAACGGGGTCTGCGGGGCAGCCCCGGGCCGGAGCGGAGGACCAGCCTCCCTCGGTGATGGGGGGACGCCCGGCTGGCGACCTCAGAGCAAGGAGCATCGTCCCCTGCGTGGTGAGGGGCACAGCGTTTGGCGGTTGTGGTGTGAGAGGGGGGAAGTTCACGAGGGAAGCCCCGTACCTCGGGGGATCCCGCACACGGGGACTGGGGTCCTGCAAGCAGCCCCATCGGATCCCCCTGCAAGGCTGCGGGTCCACGCGGCTGGATGTGGGCTTGACTGCAGAGCCCGCCGGCGCTCTCGGACGCACCTGTCACCTCTGCTCCCGCCCTGGGCTGTGGCACGAGCAGCACCCCGGGGCGCGCCCTGACCCGGCACCCAGTAAGGGAGGGACTCCTTCATGCGGGTCCGCAGGCCTGCTGCAGCTGCGTCACCCCAGGGCGGCCCGCACGTGCCGGATGCTGACCTGCAGAGCGTCACCCACGAGGGCACGCAGAGGGTGCAGGGCAGGGGGCCGGCAGCCACGAGGCCGAGACCCCCGGTGCCGTCCTGCACCCCGCACCTGCTCAGCCCAGGCTGTCGGCCCCCAAGACACGGGACTTCTTACTTCGGAGGCAAGGGTTGCAGAGAAAGGAGGCCGCGGCCGCGGTTCATGTGCAGGGAACTCTGGACCCAACTGTCCGGTGTCCCCAAAGCAGGCTCTGGACATGCTTCCCAGTGCCAGGGAGTCCCACGCAGGGTCCCTAGGATCAGGGTCTGGGGCTGCTCCGGGCGGCGGGGTCGGGGGTCTGTCCAGGTGCGGGGCTCGGAGCACCCGGGAGGACGACGTCTGTCCTGGGACAGGTCTGTCCCCGGGTGGGGGGGCTGCGAGCAGGGCGGCCCTGCCCCGGCTGGGCGAGGTGTGTCTGGGGCCTGCCCTCCTGGCAGCTGTGTGTCCTGCCTCACCCCTTCCCGGTTCCCCTTCTGCTCCTCAGTACCCGCCCCTCACTGTGCACCGTCTGACCCCCTCCGCCCTGAGTGCACTCCCTGCCCCCCCATCCCCCGGTTGCACCACCTGCCCGCACCCGTCCCCATCCGTGGGAAGAGCAGCAGGTGCCCCTTCTCCCCACCCCCCATGCGCCCCCTCTCCCCCATGCTCCGCCTGCACCTCCCTGTCCCGCTCCTGAGTGCACCACGTGCACCCCCACCCCCAGATGCACCACCTGCACCCCCCACCTCTGGGTGCACAGCCTGACCCACCCACCCCAGCCACCCACCCCGTGTCCCCGGGTGCACCACCTGCCCCGCCCCCCCGCCCCCGTGCACCGCCTGACCCTCTCCACCCCCGGGTGCTCAGCCCGGAAGCGCCCGCACCCCTCCCGGGACCCAGTGGCCCTCCCGCTTCCCCACCGGGAGACCCGCAGGTCGGGGCTGTCTGTCCCCAGGGGAGCGGCCTGCAGGCGGTTGGGAAGCGCAGGGCGAGCAGCCGGCTGGAGCCGCTCCGGGGTCCAGGGAGGGGTTCCGGGGCCCCTAGGGCAGAGGCCTGGCACCTCCAGGGACAGGTGGCGTCCTGAGCGCTGCTGCAGGGAGCAGCCATCCGGGCGGCGCCAGCATCGGGTGCGCGACCCGCGGGCACTAACCCTCCCGGCGACCCCAGCCCCGCAGGACGCGCCCGCGTCAGCCTCGCGCTTCCTCACCAACCTGCGAAGGCCGTTTTGCAAAGCAGAGTCCGCGCTGGGGACCGGAGGAAGTTGCCCAAGGCGGCCCTGGATGGGGAGCAGCAATTAGGATCGCAGCAAACAGGAACCCGCCCGGATGAAAACCGGAAAATACGGCTTTTCAGAGAAAGAGGGGAGTCATTCCAGGGAACTCGCGGCGCGGC